TTGATCGTCAAATGTTTCAAATTCGGACATGAAATCTAAATGAATCAATTTATTGACATATCATATCGAGAAATATCACCTACCGATTGAATTACATTATTCAATGTTTCTCGATTTTCGTCAGACATTGCTATAGTAACTGTCAATGATTGAAGTTGACAGCCTAATTGAATTAATAAACCGACACATTGCGCAAAATTCCAAAATGATATACGAATATGAGTCAATTGAACTGCTTCAGGAATACGCAATTGCTTACCAGTAATTGAGTTACTTAATAGACAATTATCATCGAGTTCAAAGGATTGAACTTGACGCATCAGTGATGATTGTAATCAGGTAGCTAAATGGGCGCCAATACTGTCGTTACGCAGTAGAAAATATTGCGGAACAATTGAAAGCAAAGGTTTGCGCATTTCAGGATAACACATGTGATGGTTCACTAGAATAAATGCATAAGTATATCTATGTGTTTATTATGAAGATTAACCAAAGGACGAAGCGAGACAAAATCTTTCAGTCTCACCTATATTTCAGATTATGAGGCAACTCTGGAAAGTTAGAAAAATTAACAAATCTAAGAACTTATCAACGAAACTTTGCTTCCACCTTACTCGAGTTATACCAAACAAAATATGTATAGTGTGTGCTTTCAAAAAAATTCAATTCATCACAATTTACCTATCGTATAAGGCACACCTGTTTTCGAACGTTTAGCACCCAGCATTATTTTCAAATGTCTAAGATTTTTGAGCGTTTTATTGTCAGTATTTTGATGATATTCATCAATAGGTCTAATATGATGAAGGTCAATTGTTAATGATTGAATACTATTGCCTATAAGAGGCATAACATCAGAGTAAAATCGTTTCATCAAGGATCGATGTGGCGCATTAATGTAATCAAAAGTAAAATCGATTGAATGACATCCATCGAATGCAAGTTGTTTCAACCGATTATTATCAATATCAATCATGGAACAAAATAGTAAAACTTGGGGATGAACCTTCTTGATAATGGCCAATATTAGTTCATCGGGTAAATCTAGCAATTGAACAGCTTCTTCAATGCAAAAAAAGTCGTTTAAAGCAAACTTTTCTATCAATTCTGCTACATACTCATATTCGATAGGTCACTCATTGTTGATCGTCAACCAAACGGAAAGAATCTGATTGTGTTATCAATCGGAGACGTCAGTCACATTTCTTTATACGGCGGCAATTTTGTAGTCAGTCCGTCCGTCCGTCTATAGGTCTATTCTTCTACATATGATGACCATTATTGTCTAAATTAGAGCTAATGGTTGATAACCAATGAACACAATAAAGGGAAAGTGCCCTTTACAGAAAACAAAAGCTGCAAATGAATAAATAATATCAGAATATTTTGATCATAATGCGTGTCAGTGAATGACTTCATATACGCATATACTTATAGCATGTACAATGAGTCTAACCTAACAATGTTTTCAACTATTATGAGGTCCAGCAACTTATTGGAAGAGTATTAAAGATGTTTTAATTAGTTCGTAAACACATTTGAGCATACAATCAATGAAAGTAAGATATTCCATAGAGGTCTTTCAATATCATCCTTTCTGATATTGTTGTTTTCTGTTGACACTAATGACATATGTAGTTATCTCGAAAGTCGGATATGAACATCACCTGTTGCTTATTGCTGTTGTTCCACTTTTTGACACTGTTTTATTGATTCAACTGCTGTAATCAGGAAATGCTAGTGGAGACGAAAGTGACTTAACTCATTCCGGATTTTGGATAGAAGGAACAAATATATGCTGTGAGAAATATTTTCAAAGTTGTTTTTAGGTAGGCTGAGCTCTGCCTCTTTGACCTGCGTCCGATTATGCTCCTAGTATAAACGTATAGTCTTCATATAAGTTCGACTTTTTTTATTGATATGACTTTCACGAAAAGGAATTCGATGAAAAGACTTTCTCTTGTTATTTATTCGAATATATATTCAGAGCGCTTCCTGATGTTTGTTAAACATTTCGAAAGAAAAACAAATGTTATTATTAACCATTCGTCATATTTATGTTTCACACAGAAGAATCTCTTATAGTGGACACTTTGGCAAATGCTGGCATCATTGAAAGGGCTATTTCGTTCATTTAATGCTATATATATACAGAAAAAACTCTAATGGTGAACCAAAACTGTCGTTGCTAATGTTCTTGACGAGTTATTCGTTAATTCGACAAGTTTTATTAGATATTTAAGATCGACAATTGAATGATGGCAAATACGATTATTTAGGTGATGATTTTCCTGATAGTGAATTCATTCCAGATACAGTTTTTACTAGCACTAATGCAACAATCTCTTATCTAGTTTATCATATTTTAAATGTGACGATCAATTATTAATCTATTGATACTAATACAAAGAAAGTCAGTGTAGTCGCAACTCCAAGCTTATCGGTAAGTTACCTTCATTGGATTTATTGATATTCGTATAAAATCACATACTACATTTAATTCAATAACAACACATGTGGAAATTTCATCGATGGCTATAAAAAGTACTACTGAGATCACTAATCAATATTCATCAACAATATTCAATAATGATTCATCGTTATTCACAATTTCTATACCTTCAACTTCTTCATCGACTTCAAATACTTACATTACATTAACAAGTTTGCAATCATCATCATTATATTCAAACACTTCTTTGATTTCTCTATCAACAACCATGTATTTACTAATTACTATATACCTGTTAGTCTTTCATCAGAAAGACTCATACGGTCAAATTGGCTCCTTGAATCATTCTTTCATCTCGTACGAGTATTTGTCGTTACACAGGTGAGACAGAAAAGGACGTTCTGAGTCCATACCACACTGACGATAAGGAGTACTATAAAAAGCGAGCAACTTGTTCTGTTACTTCGTTTATATTTTAGTGAACATTATCACGATCGAGATTTTCTTAGCATATGTACTCTTAATATCACACTAACCATTTCACTTACCAAGACAAATAAGGTTTCACCAATGGCTCATATTGAACAAGGTATTTATATTGGTCGACAAATGACAACGAACGGTACGAATGTTAATTATTGGCTTGGTATACCTTATGCTCAGCAATCTGTCGGTAGCCTTAGATGGACTCCTCCTCAAGCTCTTGCTACAGCAAACGAAACGGCAGAAGCATATGTTGATAATTCTTGTCTACAAGAATATAATTTTGGTTTTCTACGTACCGAGACCTGTCTTACGTTAAATGTATACGCTCCAGAAAATGCAAGTCGTTTGCCTGTGTTTGTCTGGATTCATGACGATGCTTTTACTTCCGGCGCAGCCACCCAGTACGACGCTATCTCATTCGTTACCGAGAGCATGGTGAATTTCGTTCCTGTGGTCGTGCTTGCAATCAACTATCGAATCAGGTGTTAACAATCGGAGCACGATTAGTAACTATGGTATTCTAGACCAGTTGATGGCATTAGATTGAATAAAGAAAAATATCGTTGGCTTTGGTGGTAATCCTAGTCAAATTACTGTCGGAGGTGAGAGTGCAGGTGGTATAAGCATCACACTTTTGCTTACATCTTCACTGGTTGCTGACGACGCGTTTCAAAGAGCAATTGTACAAAGCAGCAGTATGTGGCCAAGTTTGCTCTTCACTCTACAGGAAGCCACGAACAAGACGGGTAAATTTTTGTGAAATGCTACGAGTTGTACAACAACACAGTGTTTGCGCAGTCTCATTGAGGATCAGATCATCACAGTTCAGCGTATGATCAGCTCTCAAAATATCTACGGACTGTTTGTTCTTCCAGTTATCGATGGATATGTACTAGATGATATTATGGAAAATTACTACGCACAAAGAAATTTTAAAAGAATTCCTGTCTTGATTGGTTCCACAGCAAGCGAGACAACAACAATGACTTATAGAATCTTTAATGACACAATTAATAGCACACAAGCGCAAAACTTTCTCGAAACATTATACAATACTACGATCATTGATAAGTTACCCACAGTCTATGGGCCTATGGCTACATATGGCAACCCATTCACGTACTTAAATGTAATCTATAGTGACGCTTGGGTCAAATGTGGAGCAAGACGTCTTGCTGCTCGATTTTCTGAATATGTAGTACCATCTTATTTGTACACATATAGCTATATTGTATCTGCTGCACCATCCTGCTGTGGTGCAGTTCATACTGCAGAGCTTCCCATGCTCTTTCCGTCATATCTTCGTTATTTGTATCGTAATTACACTTTCACTGCATTGGACCAGCAGCTTTCTAAGAACGTGGCATTATACTGGGCTCATTTCATCTATAATTCAGATCACAACTACGATATAAATCCAACCAACTGGAGTGTTTGTTGTTCTTCGACTGATAATGATTTGACCATCGGGACTAATCCACACATGAGAAGTTACTATTATAATCTAACGTGCTCGGGTCTATGGGACCAGTACGCTGTCACTAACAGTACCACTGCGGCATCTACAATGAAATATGACTGTACTTCTCAATATTATCTATCGCTTTTTGTTCTTTTTTCTATTACAATTTATGTTCATGTTTAGGTTATAGGCACAGATACAATGTGTAAATAAAAGAAATGTGCATTCCTTAGAGAATTTTCCGAATTTTATTTCAAACAAGGTGGTCCAAATTAGGATATACTTATTTTCGGAAAAGATTTCCTCGCACTAATTTGATTTCTTCAATAGAAAAAGTTCCGAATATCATTGACGTGTTCGGTGTCGCCATTTCTTAAATGAATCTTTGAAAGTTTTCATATAAAGCTTTGAAGGTACAACAAAGATTAGAAACACAAGAATTAATGGCATAAACGATATAAAATAAGCGCTGAGATATAGCCATAAATTTTCGGATGCATTCACACAGCCAGGAAGCAATGAAATGACTAAACGCGGCACTGACAGAGCAAGTAAAACCATTGGACTGATAATCAGTTGTTTATGTTCGTTGAATTGTTTACGAATAAGCAAGTTGAAATTTTGATTCTTTTGTGTTTTCGATCGTGTTCGAGCAACTCCAAAAACGATGAACAAAGCAGAGAAGAGATTGGCAACAAACGGGCCAAATAAATGAACAAATAGAATCATTGTATTATAGGTTTGAACAGCAAGAGAATAACCAGTTACACACCAATCATATCGTCTTGCACTCATCACTTGTGTTCCATTGCCAGAAACTTCATACGAAAACACATTTCGATAGATGAATTCATGTACAAAAGTTAACAGAACACAAAGTGGCAAGATGACAATGATCCATCGCGCGACAAGTCGACTTTGTTGTTTGTCAAAATTAACTCCTTTGTAAACGTGAAATGCTCGTTCGATTGCGACGCAAGCATTTAACCAACCATCGAAATAGAGAAAAAATTTGAGAATAGGTTCAATTGAATTACAACCACTTTGATGAATCAAAATACTTGTTGAATGATCGATTTGAGTCAAAACAACAAACCAAAATTTGGCGAAAAACATACTGATCGCAAGAAAAGAAGTGACTGATGATGCGAGGAGGTACAATCCACATCCAACCTGTTGCGCTTCTTTGTTTTGAAATGTAATAAACGAAAGAAAACTATTGATCAATCCAGCAACAAACATCAGAGTGACCAGGGCAGCACTCACTTTAATGGAAACAATTTGCTGACTTAATGGTGAACCTTTTCGAAGTTCTTCATATAAAATATCATCGAGTGTTAATCCAATACTTTTAAAATGAAGATTACACTGATCACCAATCACACAATATTTATTGTTCGGATCTAAAAATACCCCTCAAATGTAAGGAGGAAAAGTTCTGCGTAAAAAACTTACTGAAGTGTTGAACGGTGACATTGGTATGATTTAATCCGGAGATGTAAAGAAAAAATTCCCCAATGGTATATGAATCAAAAGTTGTGACGACTAAGACATATCGAATATTAATTTGAAGACTTACAATGAATTTCAGTTGTTCTTGATTACACGTTCCATTGTGTTCAAAAAGTCGATTGACCGATGGTTTTAGTGGATCAAAATGGTTCTCGTAAATATAACCATATGTATGAATTGAACTTTCTACCCAAATGAGATAAGATGCATTTGTGTTGACATAGATTTCAAATGTTTTGTAATAACATTTCGGTCGTTGACAATCTCGGTAATACATGGGACTACCAGTTGTTAGTTCAGATGAATAATTAAATAGAATGTTCACTGGAGTTGCTGTTTGAGAACAAGAATTTAAAAAGATAACTTTGAAATCGATGTTTCGACTTACTCAGACGATTATCAGTGACACTTTCTAAACCCAACATACGAATTGTGATGTTACCAGTGGTCATTGGATGATTTGTTGTTATAACCAATATGTAATTCGTATCACTATACAGTGGAAGTTCAAATTTAAATTGATTTTGAGACTTTTCACCAGCATTTTCAATAAGAAGGTTCTCATTTGGATTAAGTGGATCAAAACTCTTCTCATAGATCAAACCGTATGTGTCGATCGTGGCACTACTCCATATTGTATAATAACGGCTTTCGGGAACTCGGATTTCGAATGCTTCGTAATAATACCTGAATCTGTTACATTGACGCGAATATATTTGACTAGTTTCAGTCAATTCTACTGAATTTATTAGCGGGATAATTGATGTCATATCTATTCAAGAATTTCTCGTTATTCTCAACCAAATGACTTTCGTATTTTCATAAACACTTACCACAAGAGTTTTTGGAATATTCAAATTTTTGTATTCGATGATTTCCGGAATCCATAACAAACACATTTCCAAAACTATCAAAGGCAAGATTCGATGGAAACAACAACTGAGTGGATTTTATGCTAACTCCATCGCAACCGATGACACAATCAACACGATTATGTGTTGCTCGAAGAATGCGATGCTTATTTGACTCAATAATAAATAAATATTGTAGACGATCCATTGTAATTGCGATTGGACACGAAAGTAAATATCGGTTTTCCACTGATTCATTTCCCACTTTCGTAAGACCAAACGCTGCGTCCAAGTGAAATTGTTGAATTCGATTATTTTCACAATCTGCTACGTATAGAACGAATTTTTCATCAACAAAAATTCCATGAGGACGATTGAGTTGTACAGGCGACGATCCTGGATCACCCGTTCCGGCTACAGTGATCAATGTCATGATGGGATCATGAATATCTTTTTTCATAACTTGATGATGATCTGGCATTGAACAATATAAATAATTATTTGGATCGATAAACAAACTGAAGCACGACGAAAAGACATTCATTGCATTGATGAATGTCTGCTCATTAGTGATCCATCTCTGCACTCGATTGTTGAACACTCCGTTGTCGATGAAAATATCACCATATGGCATAACGAATATAGAAGATGAGTTAGGAAAAGTAGTGGAAAGAGTTTCTGATAGATCGATGGCACCCTGATGCCAAACTAAGACTTCTCCTTTCTCGCGGTTAATTGCGTAAAGCGAATCTCTTCCATTGATGAACATGGCGGTAGGATTCGAGCCAAGTGTGAATTTATCAGCAGAAGTTATTCCATTTCGATTCCAAACTGGCTTTGGACACAAGGTCGGTTGATTGATCGACGGCTCTGAATATAAAAGAAATTTGGATGAAACAGACACTATATAAACTTATATTTGTTTAAAATACATATATTTCAATTCGCGATGTGCGATCCATCTCCGATACATGTATCTACTCCGTTCGTTGCTATTTCTTACATACTAAAGACTACAGAAGCGTAAGCAATTATAGACATGGTCTCAACGCCGTATTGGTTTTCTTTCGAAGATATTCGGAGCGATACTTTTCGTTACCAGCAAATTGCTTTTTTTTTGCTTTAGAAAAGTCAAGTCTTCCCTTAACTCACCGCATAAATTTTCCAGGCGGAATTTTTGAATACGTTCCTTTTTTGCGTCAATAACGATCATGTTACCAAATACATCGAAACTCATAGCCATTGGAGAGATTAATTGATCAGAGGAAGAACTCTCATAACATCCAATCACGCATCGAAAACCGTATGGTCCTTCTCCAATAATACGATCCTTTCCTCTATCCAAGATAAATAAATACTTATTAACATCCAAGGTAATTCCACTAGGATTTCTAAGTGAAACAGTTAATTCGTCTGACCTGCTACCTGCTACTGTAACAGCATCCTTTTTTCCAAATCGAAAAAGCTGAACTCGATGATTGCCACTGTCTGCCACATACAAATCCAAGTTTACATCAACGAAGATCCCATGAGGTTCGTAAAGTTCATCGAATGCAGATCCTTTATTACCTGTTCCAGCAACAGGAATATGTATGAATGAAGCGTCGCTCAAGTCTTTTTTCACGACTTGATGTTTTAGAAAAATTGAACAGTACAAAGTGTCAGTGATGTCTACAAACAGACCATAACATGCATTGCTTGCATTCATGACAATTTCAAAAATGTTTTTCTTCGATGTCCATCTCTTTACTACGGGATCGGTACGATTATTACCAATGTAAATATCGCCATTTGATGTTACGAAGAGCGATTTGGGACTTCGGATATCTCCTGAAATGATTTTCGTAAGTGTAGGGTCGTTATCATTCCAGATCAAAACATTCTTCTCTTCCGAATGAGTAACGTAGATAGTGTTATTTGTAGTGATAAAAATGCGTCGTGGCCTGAATTCACTAGTAGACTGATTAGTTAAAGTAATTCCACGACGATTCCAAGATGCACTATGACACAATTGTGGCTCATTCAATGACAAGCCTAAAACAAAACAAAAATCTGTTATAACCAAATCAAATAAGGAAGTGAAACGAATATAAGAACTGTAAGGATCAGTTTTCATGCTGAAACTATCTGTATAAGAATTTGATTAGAAATCTCATTGCTATTGAAATAAATTCACATCCTCATTCTGACTTTGTGTCACGGTACATCAATGTCCATGTGAATGTTATTTCTCTAATTCATAAATGAGTGAAAAACATTTGAAAATAGCAAAACTTATTATTTATTCTTATTCGATATTCGACGATACATCAACTGTTCATACTGTATCACATTGAAGTGATAAATTTACGTTAAAGCCTTTTCTTTCATTATGCAAACAAATTCTTTTCGCGTTGATTTCTTGAATGATTTTCGTGAAATGTATTCTTACCCAATTTTTTTTCAGTGTCAGTCGTATTCATTTCAATTGTTTGTCTTTTCAGTTACTCGCCAGATGGAATTTTGGTTAGCACGAATTTTTGAATATGACCCTTGTAATCGTCAACAACAAGAATGTTACCAAATACATCGAAACTCATAGTAAATAAATCTCTCAACTGAGCATATTGAGTGTCATATCCATATGAGTTACATCCAATTAAACATCGAAAACCGTATGGTCCTTCTCCAACAACACGGTCATTTCCTCTATCCAAGATAAATAAATACTTATTCGCATCCAAGGCAATTCCACTGGGACACCTAAGGGAAATAGTTGGCTTTTGCGATTCTTGACCGACACGTGTAACAGCATCCTTTTTTCCAAATCGAAAAAGCTGAACTCGATGATTGCCACAGTCTGCCACATACAAATCCAAGTTTACATCAACGAAGATTCCACGAGGTTGGTGAAGTTCATCGAATGCAGATCCGTTATTGCCTGTTCCAGCAACAGGAATAGGTACGAACGAAGAGTAGCTCGAATCCTTTTTCACGACTTGATGTTTTAGAACAATTGAACAGTATAGAGTGTCATTGATGTCCACAAACAGGTCAACACATTCTTCGCTTGTATTCATGACAACTTCAAAACTGTTTGTCTTCGATATCCATTTTTTCACCAGAAAAAGATCGCGCCCTACTTCATTTGCGTAAATATCACCATTTGATGTTACAAATAAAGACGAGCATCCTAAAGGAACTTCTGGAATGACGTTCTTTGGAGTGAGACTATAGCCATCGTATAACAAAATAGTGTTGTTTGTGTCAACGAAAAGGGCTCTGGAATTTTTTCCGACAATCGATTCATCAGCAAAAGTTATTTCACGACGATCCCAAATTGGATTTGAAGGCAAGTTCGGTTGATTAAAGGAAGCAGCTAAAAGACAATTTAAACATATGCAATAGTAGCAAACTTGCATTTCAATGGTCATTGCTCTCTCTTTTTTGTTTTTATCTTAGTGAAATGTTGTGTAACAACCGTACAATAGTAAAAATATCGAAATCAACTTACCGAATGATTTCTGATTATAGACAAGAAGAACCAGAAAAATAGTTAACGTAGAAATGCTCCACATATATCTCGGCTAAAATCCTGTGTTTATGATTGATTTGCATGCAATCTTTCTATAAAGTGAAAGAGTAATAGGAACATTTAGCTACAAAATTCATGTTGAAATATCTTTGTTAAAATCACATGGAAAAATGATACTCATGTCAATAGAATAAGTCGTCATCTGTCTTATTTTATTACGGAAACCTGATTTTTCTTTGTTGGAATCAATTTGCAAATGTTTCTTTGAAGAAAAAAACCAACTATAGGGTCATTTCATTTGTATGAAGATAATCAGCTGAGAGATTTGAATTTCAACAATTTTTTATTTGTAAAAAATCATTCTCTAACAGATTTTAATTTGTAATGATTAATTCTGATTTATTCTACAAAATAACATATTTAACAAAACGGAATTGAGAGATTATGTTTCATTCGATCAATAATCACGATTCTTTATGTATCACGGTTTAGAAAGAGAAATAAGCGACAGAAATCCATTGGAGTAATAAAATGTGTATGTTCTCTTTCTGTACCCACGGAAAAATTTTTGAATAAAAACCGCGGTAATCAACGGTTTAATATATGCGGTTTTGACCGGTAATTTTGAACCGCAAAAGTCAGACCTTTTATTAGGTTTTTCCACACCGGCTAAAATCGCGGTATGTCAAACCGCGGTTATTAACGGTTTCAACGAAAAATAATATACCATCATGATGGTACATCATTTCTGGCAGGCATTCNTGATCTTAAAGTGAGCTTACTCCTTAAGTATTTTATTCTAATCCGCAATCTGGTTTTCCAAATGCAAGTATGTGAGTTCCACACTTTAGCCCCAAAGGGGCTGCGCTGACAAGCTTTTTTCTTCATATAAATGCCTAACAGACACTCACTGCATTAGATCTTCGAAACAATCGAATATATAATCATGGTGCAGAATATCTAGTTAACGCATTAAAAGTTAATACAGTCAGATCAATTCTTCCATATCTTCAGATTGCACGCATTTTCCATTCATAGACATTTGTTAAATTGAATTTTGTATATAACAGCGTTGGACATCAAGGGGAGCATATTTTACTAAAAACTATATTTCATAATAAAACAGTAAATGAAATATCCTATATTGATATATGTTTTCATTCTGAAGCGATGTACAGACATTGAAAGAATTGTACATCAACGATGGAGAAAATCTTGTTGAAAGAGCCAAGTTCTTGCAAGATGCGATAAACCGAATGAAAGCAAACGAACTTTTCATTAACACTTTTTTTTGCAAACATTTCTCGAGCACAGACATGCGCAAGTGTCGACCTTAGTAATAAATCACTTGGCTACAGCGAAATATAAATCCTAGCCAATGAACTGCAAACTAATACTGCTAGAAACAATTTATTTTCTGTGAAAATTTGTTCGAATGAATACATAACAGACACTTACGTCATTGAATCTTCGACATAACAAACTGACTGAGGATGATATCAAAGGTCTTCGTTGGATATTAACAGAAAATCAAGTAAGTCACGTAATCGCTCTTATAACTATACTTAAATCATTCGATTCAGACACTCTTGATATTGAATATCGAAGACAAAATGGATATCTTTCTTGAGAGTTTTAGAGTGAAGAAAGTAACGAGATCTGCCCATTCATCAAATATGACGCATATCGGGTGGATATTTGTAGACATGGATTATATTTTTCTTGAAATGCGATCGACACAGCCAACCCAACACTTTCTATTTATTATCATCGATAAACGATTCTATGGTAAAATATATTCTTTTTGTACATTTTGTTTACTCAATTGATATTAGGATTACGTCGAATTTCCAAAATAATCTGATCAATGCCGTGAACATGTACGATATTTTCCATACTCTACCAATTTTCAAAGTCAATTGATCATTTAATTATTGAGCGAATTTCGACATATATTCCGTTGTAGAACATAACGACACTAAACTTTCAAAATTGTCAAATTACTGACAAAGGAATGAGATATTTGACTAATATTTTAAGAACTAATCAAGTAAGACTGGCAATATACATCCACGGCATTTCAATAAGTAAATTCAGAGTATTGCCACGATCCATTTACAGAATAATATCATAACAAATCAATGTGTCAATCATTTGGTTTCTGCTATTTCACAAAATGATGTAAGTTTGAATGAAGATGAAAAGATGTTGATTTCATTTAATTTGGACGGAAATGAGATTTCAGAAGCAAAGGCACATGTGATCGCTGATTGTATACGTCAAACTACAGTAAATCGAATAATTCTAAAAACATCTTTTTTTGCAATTTCCCTTGAAAATAGCCATTTGATGGATTAAATTTCGAAAGAAATGCAATTGATCAACAAGAAATACAACAACTCATTGACTTGTTACAAAATGATACAGTAATATCATTTCCCTACTGAGAAACAAGTGCGGATAACTCAATTTAGACACAAACTACATGGAATTTTCAAAACAAAAGTATTGATAATCGAGCTCTGCACTTCATAACGAAAGCACTTTACAATAATACAGTAGATGAAACTTCGGCTTTCTTTAATTCATACTTTTCTCTTTGTGCTATGAAGATAGTCACAAGCTTAGATCTATCAAACAATGGAATCAATAATAGTGGCGGAGAGAGAATCGTTCGTACACTACGACATAATAAAGTATGATTGAAACGATATGATTTAGACACGCTTCAAGTAGTGAATCTTCAGCACAATCGCGTCGGTGATGTTGGAATGAGGTGTTTAGGAAACGTTTTAGAGAAAAATATCGTAAGATGAATACATAAGAATGATTTATCTTATCGCGTATGAATTCAGACATTGAACAGTGTAGATATTGGATGGAATCGTATTACTGATCAAGGAGTGGGAGATTTCATGATTGACTTTCGGAAAAATCGAGTAAAGTGAATATTTTCAGCTGTTTTCTCATTCAGGCGAGAGATACGATTAATATCATCGAAGAAAATCGATCAAGAATCAAACTTATTATTTCAAATTGATTGAATGAGGATTCGTACATGCGTGAGAGTGTGGATCAAAATATTCACATTCTTCAGAAAACAACATACCTACATGTATGATGAAACAATAAAAGAACTTAAAAAAGAAACGAAAAAACACGTTAAGTCATCGAACATTATTTTTTTGTTTACTTCTTACACACTAACTACGTAAAAATGTTGTTTCTTTTACTCCTTCCTGCATATTTATCTTCATCATACATTTTCGACTAACATCAATTCAAGAAAGACTTTCCAACATGCGTGAGTATCCGCGTGACACTAAGTCAGTGAATATTCCTTTGATTTGTGAAGACAACTGCCTACACTGTTACGAGAAGCACCAAATAGGGCTAATCATTGATGACACTCGAGACATTCCAGTCAGCAACAGATGTAAAACGGCAACGAACAACAAATCTTACTGTTTATGAAAATATTGCCGATAAAACAAACAAGAATGAATTCATATTACAACTGCTGAGTGTCGGAATCATGCACGACACCTCGGTTAGTTCTCTTCAAAAGGTATTTCACTTATGATTCGAAACAAAGAAAAAATTCATCTGCGTTCCTACGATATACCATTAATGCACGGCACGGAAGTGAAAAAAAGCCCATTTATTATGTGTCAGTGAATGATATGTTCATATCTTGCAGTTCTATCGATGTTGTAAATCGCATTTTCAAAACTAGTCACCTTTGCCGATTCCGCATGCAATGCGCATATTCTAGTAAGTTATGTATAGTCATCAGAATTATCTCAATTTCGCTTCAACACAGTTATTTCAGTTCGAATATGTTTAATTTCAGAAAAGATTTCCTTGCCAATTTGATTTCTTCAATAGAAAAAGTTCCGCATATTATTGCCGTGTTCGGTGTCGCCATTTCTTAAATGAATCTTTGAAAGTTTTCATATAAAGCTTCGAAGGTGCAACAAAGATTAGAAACACAAGAATTGATGGCATAAACGATATAAAATAAGCGCTGAGATATAACCATAAATTTTCGGATGCATTCACACAACCAGGAAGCAATGAAATGACTAAACGCGGCACTGACAGAGCAAGTAAAACCATTGGACTGATAATCAATTGTTTATGTTCGTTGAATTGTTTACGAATAAGCAAGTTGATATTTTGACTCTTTTGTGTTTTCGATCGTGTTCGAGCAACTCCAAAAACGATGAACAAAGCAGAGAAGAGATTGGCAACAAATGGACCAAATAAATGAACAAATAGAATAATTGTATTATAGGTTTGAACAGCAAGAGAATAACCAGTTACACACCAATCATATCGTCTTGCATTCATCACTTGTGTTCCATTGCCAGAAACTTCATACGAAAACACATTTCGATAGATGAATTCATGCACAAAAGTTAATAGAACACAAAGTGGTAAGATGACAATGATCCATCGCGCGACAAGTCGACTTTTTTGTTTGTCAAAAGTAACTCCTTTGTAAACGTGAAATGCTCGTTCGATTGCAACGCAAGCATTTAACCAACCATCGAAATAGAGAAAAAATTTGAGAATAGGTTCAATCGATTTACAACCACTTTGATGAATCAAAATATTTGTTGAATCATCGATTTGAGTCAAAACAACAAACCAAAATTTGACGAAAAACATACTGATCGTAAGAAAAGAAGTGACTGATGATGCGAGGAGGTACAATCCACATCCAACTTGTTGCGCTTCTTTGTTTTGAAATGTAATAAACGAAAGAAAACTATTGATCAATCCAGCAACAAACATCAGAGTGACCAGGCCAGCACTCACTTTGATGGAAACAATTTGCTGACTTAATGGTGAATCTTTTCGAAGTTCTTCATATAAAATATCATCGAGTGTTAATCCAATACTTTTAAAATGAAGATTACACTGATCACCAATCACACAATATTTATTGTTCGGATCTAAAAATACGCCGCAAATGTAAGGAGGAAAAGTTCGGGGTGAAAAACTTACTGAAGTGTTGAACGGTGACATTGGTATGATTTAATCCGGAGATGTNGAAGATATTCGGAGCGATACTTTTCGTTACCAGCAAATTGCTTTTTTTTGCTTTAGAAAAGTCAAATCTTCCCTTAACTCACCGCATAAATTTTCCAGGAGGAATTTTTTAATGCGATTCTTGTTTGCGTCAATAATGATCATGTTACCAAATAGATCGAAACTCATAGCCATTGGAGAGATAAATTGATCAGAGGAAGAACTCTCATAACATCCAATCACGCATCGAAAACCGTATGGTCCTTCTCCAATAATACGATCCAACCCGCTATCCAAGATAAATAAATACTTATTAACATCCAAGGCAATTCCAATAGGATTTCTAAGTGAAACAGTTAATTCGTCTGACATGCTACCTGCTACTGTAACAGCATCCTTTTTTCCAAATCGAAAAAGCTGAACTCGATGATTACCACAGTCTGCCACATACAAATCCAAGTTTACATCAACGAAGATCCCACGAGGTTCGTAAAGTTCATCGAATGCAGATCCTTTATTACCTGTTCCAGCAACAGGAATATGTATGAATGAAGCGTCGCTCAAGTCTTTTTTCACGACTTGATGTTCATGAAAAATTGAACAGTACAAAGTGTCAGTGATGTCTATAAACAGACCATAACATGCATGGCTTGCATTCATGACAGTTTCAAAAGTGTTTTTCTTCGATGTCCATCTCTTTACTACGGGATCGGTACGATCATTACCAATGTAAATACCCCCATTTGATGTTACGAAAAGCGATCGGGGATTTCGGATATCTCCTGAAATGCTTTTCGTAAGTGTAGGGTCGTTATCATTCCAGATCAAAACCTTCTTCTCTTCCGAATGAGTAACGTAGATTGTGTTATTTGTAGTGATAAAAATGTTTTGTGTCGTGGGTTTAATAGTAGATTGATTAGTTAAAATAATTCCACGACGATTCCAAGATGCACTATGACATAATTGTGGCTCATTCAATGGCAAACCTAAAACAAAACAAAAATCTGTTATAACCAAATCAAATAAGGAAATGAAACGAATATAAGAACTGTAAGAATCAGCTTTCATGCTGAAACTATCTGTATGAGAATTTGATCGGAAATCGCATTGCTATTGGAATAAATTCACATCCTCATTCTGACTTTGTGTCATGGTACATCAATGTCCATGTGAATGTTATTTCCCTAATTCATAAATGAGTGAAAAACATTTGAAAATATCAAAACTTATTATTTATTCTTATTCGACGATACAACAACTGTTTACATACTGTATCACATTGAAGTGATAAATTTATGTTAAAGCCTTTTCTTTCATTGTGCAAACGAATTCTTCTCACGCTGATTTCTTGTATGATTTTCACGAAATGTATTCTTACCCAATTTGTTTTTCAGTGTCAGTCATATTCATTTTAATTGTTTATCTTTTCAGTTACTCACCAGATGGAATTTTGGTTAGCACGAATTTCTGAATATGATCATTGTAATTGTTAACAACAAGGATGTTACCAAATACATCGAAACTCATAGTATATAAATCTCTCAACTGAGTATATTGAGTGTCATATCCATATGCATTACATCCAATTAAACATCGAAAACCGTTTGGTCCTTCTCCAACAACACGGTCATTTCCTCTATCCACGATAAACAAATACTTATTCGCATCCAAGGCAATACCACTAGGAGACTTAAGGGAAATAGTTGGCTTTTGCGATTCTTGACCGACACGTGTAACAGCATTCTTTTTTCCAAATCGAAATAACTGAATTCGATGATTGCTACAGTCTGCCACATACAAATCCAAGTTTATGTCAACAAAGATTCCATGAGGTTTGTTAAGTTCATCGGATGCAGATCCTTCATTACCTGTTCCAGCAACAAGAATAGGTACGAACGAAGAGTAGCTCGAATCCTTTTTCACGACTTGATGTTTTAAAAGAATTGAACAGTATAAAGTGTCATTGATGTCCATAAACAGATCAAAGCATTCCTCGCTTGTATTCATGACAACTTCAAAACTGTTTGTCTTCGATATCCATTTTTTCACCAGGTAAAGATCGCGCCCTGATCTATGTGCGTAAATATTCATATTTGCGTAAATATCACCATTTGATGTTACAAATAAAGACGAGCATCCTAAAAGAACTTCTGGAATGACGTTCTTTGGAGTGAGATTATAGCCATCGTATAACAAAATAGTGTTGTTTACTGTATTAACAAGATATATTGTGTTGTTTGTATCAACGAAAAGAGCTCTGGAATTTCCTCCGACAATCGATCGATCAGCAAAAGTTATTCCACGATGAGCCCAAATTGCATTTGAAGGCAAGTTCGGTTGATTAAAGGAAGCAGCTAAAAGACAATTTAAACAATTGCAATAGCAGCAAACTTGCAGTTCAATGGTCATTGTTCTCTATTTTTTTGTTTTTATCTTAGTGAAATGTTGTATAACAACCGTACAATAATAAAAATATCGAAATCAACTTACCGGATGCTTTCTGATTATAGACAAGAAGAACTAGAAAAATAGTTAACGTAGAAAAGTTCCACATATATCTCGTCTAAAATCCTGTGTTTATGATTGATTTGCGCATGCGATCTTTCTATAAAGTGAAAGAGAAATAGAGACATTTAGCTACAATATTCATGTTCAAATATGTTTGTTAAAATCACATGAAGAAATGATACTCATGTCAATAAAATAAGTCATCATCTGTCTTATTTTATTACAGAAACCTGATTTTTCTTTGTTGAGATCAATTTGCAAGTGTTTCTTTGAAGAAGAAAAAAACAAACTATGGGATCATTTCATTTGTACGAAGATAATCAGCTGAGAGATTTGAATTTCAACAATTTTTTATTTGTAAAAAAATCATTCTTTATAAGATTTTGCTTTGTAATAATTAATTCTGATTTATTCTACAAAATAACATGTTTAACAAAACGGAATTGAGAGATTATGTTTCATTCGACCAATAATCACAATTCTTTATGTATCACTGCTTAGAAAGAGAAATAAGCGACAGAAATCCATTGGAGTAATAAAATGCGTCTATTCTCTTTCTGTAGGTGAGTATAAAATTGTTTGCTTGGAAAACTTCATTTTTCATATAATCGCTCCGTCTGAAACGTCGAGTGTTCCTTCTTAGACGCATGGCCATCGTGAAGGTCTTCAGAAAGCTTACTATCACATATCATTCACCTATTTTTTTCACTTCTACTTTGTCTAAACTTGGCTAGTAAAAGTGTAGGTTCGAGATAGCGATGATCTTTGGATTTATAACAATTTCAATTAAAATTACAAGCATGAAAATGACCTGTATTTGAATGTAACAATAATTTAGATCGATTAAATAATTAGGAAACGCGAGAAAGAAATTTGAAGGAAGTAAAGAATATTAAATAGAAAAACCGTGTTAATGATACTCGTGTTTAAATTTGCTAATTAGTTCTGTCTGTTGGGAAGAAAATAAAGTTTCATAGTCAAAATCGAGTTTTTTGGTACGAACGTCGTCGCACATAGACGAATAAAATTCCAATCGCAGAAAATAAAAGTATACTGCCAATAACTGATGGAACGATTACTGCTGCTAAAGAAAGCTTGTCCGTTGAGCTGCATGGGCTCTCTTGTATGACATCGTTGGCACAGTAGTAGTAAGTCTTCGTGTTTGTAATAGACGTCTGTGTCAATTGTGCAGTCGTTTGATTCTGTCTTAATGGTGATGATGAATTACTGAGTTGCTGATTGATATCCTGAAAAAGTGTCTGAGCAGAAAGAGTAGACGTGCTGTAAAGTCGAATCTGAGCAGAACCGAGCGTACGAGCTCGCTGAAAGGTTATCACAATCTGCTGCGCGCTAGCCACAGGAATACATCCAAGGAAAACTTGTAAGAGTGCCTGGGCCGTAGCATTAACAGTTTGATTCGAACTAATGCCGAAGTCGCCACTCAATGTGAAATCAATAAATGAGTCACGCACTATTGTAACTGATGTTTGAGTAGTACTACTTGTTGAGCTCGTTGATGTTTGTGTGCTACTCGACGATCCTAATGAATTGGAAATGAGATGAGCTGAAGAAAAACTGTTCGTGGAATTACCTGTAGTTTGGGTGGTTACAGAAAGAGTTGAGACTGTCGTCTGTGTAGTTGTTGATGTGCTTTGTGTGCTTGATGTCAGCGTCTGCGTCGATGACACTGTAGCAGTGTTAGTTGTCGTTGTCATTGTGGATGTCGATGACATGGTAGCAGTGTTAGTTGTCATTGTGGATGTCGATGACACTGTAGCAGTGTTAGTTGTCGTTGTCATTGTGGGTGACGATGACATAGTAGCAGTGTTAGTTGTCATTGTGGTTGTCGGTGACATGGTAGCAGTGCTAGTTGTCACCGTCATTGTGGGCGTCGATGACACGGTAGTTGTGTTAGTTATCATTGTGGGTGTTGATGACATGGTAGCAGTGTTAGTTGTCATTGTGGTTGTCGGTGACATGGTAGCAGTGCTAGTTGTCACCGTCATTGTGGGTGTCGATGACACTGTAGCAGTGTTAGTTGTCGTTGTCATTGTCACAGTAGGAGTGCTGAGTGTCATTGTAATTGTGGAACTACCGAGGGTTATTGCACTTGTAGGTAACACAGTAAAGTTATTCAATGTTACTGTTATAACAGAAGTAGTGGATGTCATTGTAATTGTGAAGGTACTAGGTGTTGTTATCATAGTGGGCGATATCGTGAAAGTGGTGGATGTCATTGTAATTGTGGGTGAATTAGGTGTCGTTGTCATAGTTGATGATATCGTTGAACTGCTGTATGACGCTGTAGACGCAGGGAATGCAGTAGTGGGTGTCATGGTCATAGTTGTTGACATGCTTGAAGTCGTTGTGTCAGTTGAGAGGGTGTATGGTATACATGGCGATAGTGACGGATAACTTACGGTCATAGTAAAAGCGGATGGTGTAGTTACGGTAAAAGTAGTTGGTGTTGTTACAGTAAATGTTGAGGGTGTTGTTACGGTAAAGGTAGACGGTGTCGTTATAGTCATTGTAGTAAAAGTAAATGTAGTCGGTGTAGTTACGGTAAAAGTAGTGGGAGTTGTTACAGTGAATGTTGAGGGTGTTGTTATGGTAAATGTAGATGGTGTCGTTATAGTCATTGTAGTAAAAGTAAAAGTAGTCGGTGTAGTTATGGTAAAAGTAGTGGGTGTTGTTGCAGTAAATGTCGAGGGTGTTGTTACAGTAAATGTTGAGGGTGTCGTTATAGTCATTGTAGTAAAAGTAAATGTAGTCGGTGTGGTTATGGTAAAAGTAGTGGGTGTTGTTACAGTGAATGTTGATAGTGTACTTGCATAACTGATAGTCACTGTGAAAGTCGACGGTATGTATGTGTAGCATGGTGTCAGTGTACTTATTGAGGATGTCGTCGAAGAATTCGAAGCATTTGTCATCTGGTCTTGCTGAACAAGAAACTCGTTTGGAACATTTGCAGCAGATTTTTCAAAGAGTTCTGGTAAACCGCGGACTAAATCATTTGTTCCACTGGCTGCATCTATCAATATCGGCATATTTCATTCGTAATGAACAAATTTCATAACCAATTCATAGCAAACATTATCAATCTCACAACTCTGAATTTGATGTACAAGAGATTGTTGAAAACTGAGGAATCTCTGTGAGCTGTCTCCTATCACATTAGATGAAAACACCAAAATCTCTCAAATTACTCACTGCAATCGCCAATGGCCGTTGAACAATGACCTTGATCGTTATCATAGAGTAATTGACCATTGCTCTGAAAAAATGTATAACGTATCAACAAGATTTGTGAATATACTGTCGGCGTACGTTATCGTAGACACAGAAATAGTGTACAGCATGGTAGTGGTATGAACATATCATCATTCTATCACCGGGTGAATTTTGTATGGATGTTAGTAGTTTAGGTGGGTTCGAATTGTCGTGATCAACACACCGACATCCCAATGCTAGAGACAGATATACCAACCAATATTAATGCCCAATACGAACTCCGATGGCTTTTACAATAGTAGAAACTAGGACTTACTCGATTGTTTGACGAAGATTAGAATCATGCATAGAAAAACACGTTTATCTTTGAGCGTAGTGCGCATGTTTAGATTTACAGTTTCAAAAGCAATAAGTAACGGCAATTTCAGCAAAGGTAGCAATTACATAAAAAAAGAAAACTAAGTTGAATGTATCCATTATATAAATATGCATTGTATTTATATACTCTACTTTGAGAGTAGCGTGAAATAATGTTGATTTCACATACTTCAATTTACTTATTCCTGTTCTTCTGCAAACAACATTATGCTTTTGGTGAGATTTACACTTTCGAATGACATACAAGTTGGTGGAAGAAAAAATCACGCTGATCAAATAGTAGAGAATCACAATATTTTTGCCATCGACCGATAGCGTAAACATGGAATGACGTCTACAATGTATGTGATTTTAGAAAATGAAAATCAAACAGAAATTGTTATTCAGAATCAAAAAAAGAATGATCCACAGAATGAGATGAATCTTTCAACGTACTTTTAGAAGTTATATGAAAGCGGCCTTTGTATCCTTGAAATGTTTTTTATCGAACAACATGACGACTGAAAGTCCTGATTGCTCTTCGAAAAAATGTTCCTTCTTCTTATTGCTCCAAAAATTGAAACAATGATGCATTATTATAAAGGAAATATCAGTCATACATGCTCTAACCTGTACTCCTTCATTGTGAGCGAAACAGATACAATATGTGTTTTTATCAAAACAAGACAAACTTTCAGATAAAGAAGCAAAGTATCAACGTTGCCTTGTAGAACTGTCTTGCTAACTTGGCTAATTCGATACCGAGAAGATCCAGATGTTTGAATAGCTATTGTACGAATAGTGAGAAGAAAAACTACCATAGATATTGTTTTCCAATAATAGAGTGCGGTTGTGAGTTTGAGCTAACTCTTAAAAGCCGAAATGTCCTTTCCAAGGGACATTCGATTAATCGCAGTAGAACAGAGGAGTTAAGTTCTATTCATAAAAACGACTGTTGTCCTGAACAAAGACAGTCAAGATGAATGTGTGACGGAGGAAAATCACGCCAAAACAGTTTTCGCGAACTTCGACATAGCTTCGATGGCGAGTGTATTTTGAAGTAAAATTGGGTGCGCGGATATTTCTATACCTTGATATATACGTTATAGATTTTGAGTAATATCATGAGAAACAATCGTAAACTGTAATATAAAACAACTTTGCACGTTTTTTACTATTATAACAAGTCATTTTGACGTGGTAAAAAAGTACCGTTTTAGAGGCAATTTTAGCATAATAACCTAGGTAATTATAAATTTTTTGCTCAATCAATCATCGAAGATACCTCAAAACATCACGAGAATAAACTCACGGTGATCCTGAACCGTGCTACATGGCCACTCAAGCGGAGAGTTATTAGGATCATATTTCATCCGGACCGTCTGGTTAGAAAACATTTTTAGGATCACCCAGCGGTTTTGAGCATGATATATGCACATTTATACCCCAGAAGCTCCTTTTATATGATGATTTCGTTCCCCGCATTCAAAATAAACCCTTCGGTTTTTAAAGGTTAAATTGAGGAAAAAGCGTTCAAACCTACAGACGCTGACGTGACATCTTCAAGAGTGAAAGAATATTTGCCTATGACAATAAAAACAAATCTGTTGTTCCTATGGAAGATTAAGGCGAAAGAAAAGATTTCCTCTCATCTAGATGAATTCAGAATATCTTCGTATGTCAATATTGATAAAAGTATAAATGGTGCTCTATTCAAAAAGTGTCTGTGATAAATATGCCACGTTTCCTCGATTCTTATCATGTTTATACCGACTTGCAATCAGCAAAGTGAATATTTGATACGAGCCTTTTATTGTTTAGTGATTTGCTAATAAGACTGTAGAAGAGATTTTTCACTTCTGTTGTCAAGAGTTATACGATTGTGACTTCGAGCTATTCACACATATAAATCACGAACCCGATTATGTATAAATAGTGGTAGAGAAGGCAAAGACTATTTAAACTGCAGCTGGATTCGAAAGATATAAGCGAACTTCTTTTCGTCTCAATTCTCAACGATAACAAAAAAGCGACTTAGGAATGGTAATCTATCAATGGAGTATTTTGATCTTGTGGGTTACAATGATGATTCCAAGTTACTCAAACGTACTGAACAATACGATAACATGCCCCAATGGTCAGAAACCATGTGGTGATGAATTTTGTTACAACGCAAGTACACATGTTTGTACAGAAACTGGTGGCATCGTGTCATGTTTTAATAAATGTGGAAACGAATGCTATGATACGACATTCCAAGTTTGTATCAACGACACCGTATGTCGGATTGGTCAAGCTCTTTGTGAAGAAAAATATAACTACTATGGGGCCGAACTTCAACCAGTCAACCTTAAATGTTACGATCCACAATATGATACATGTTTAAACCATACAATTTGTCATAAGAAAGATCGAGTTTGTAACAGTCAGTGTATATACGTCACTTCATGGAATGATTATGACAAGAAAATATGTGCAAACGATAACGTAACACTGTGCAATGTCGCACGACCCTATGATACTTATGATCGAAATCGGATACAAGTATGTAATGGTGAATGCTTTGATACGCAGGATCCAGAGAAGGGACGTCAACACTGTGTAAATGGTGTTATACAATGCATTTGGAATTGTTCTAATGTGTGCTATAATGCATCGACAAGTATTTGTATCAATGGTAAACGTTGTTTAATTGGAGAAAATGCTTGTCTGACTAACTACACCTTATATGGTTATCCTCTTCCTACACCCTCAATGACATGCTACAATCCATCGTATCAAAAATGTATCAATAGTAGACTTTGTAGCGTTGGTCAGAATGCTTGTCTAACAAACTATGACTCGTCCAATGGTCTTCCTCTTACTTCATCCAGCAATTTATGTTACGATCCTGTAAAATATGCATGTGTCGATAGTGCACTTTGCCCAAAAGCTCGTATATGCAACGGTCGTTGTATTACTGGATCTAATGCAACTCATCAAGTATGTGCCACTGATAACCGTACAATCTGCAATGTTAGCCTACCATTTGACAATTACCAGCGCTATCAGATGCATTTATGCAACGGAAAATGTTATAATGCATTGCTCGAGCAATGTGTCAATGGAGTTGTTGAATGCTTTGATAAATCGTGTGGAGGTCAGTGCTATGATTCGGCTATTAATCACTGTATCAATAATAATAAGATTTGTAAGCTGGGTGAAGCACTTTGTGTAGAAAAATATGATTATTATGGAGCACAACTCCCATCAGTTAATCTTAGGTGTTACGACCCGCAATCTCAGACATGCTTAAACCACACAATTTGTTATGAGAAAGATCGAATTTGTAACGGCCAATGTATACCATATAAATGGAATGAGTATAACAATAAAATCTGTGCAAACGATAACGTAACACTGTGCAATGTCACACCACCCTATAATACTTATGATCGAAATCGGATACAAGTATGTAATGGTGAATGCTTTGATACGCAGGATCCAGAGAAGGGACCTCAACACTGTGTAAATGGTGTTATACAATGTGTTTCGATTTGTTCTGGTCAGTGTTTTAATTCGTCAAAAAGTGTTTGCATCAACGGTACAGTTTGCTCAATTGGAGAACGTACGTGTCTGACTAGTTATGATTGGTATAGCGGATACCTTCTCCCTAAACCTGAAATGAAATGTTACAATCCATCGTATCAAAAATGTATTGATGGTAGACTTTGTAGCGCTGGTGAGCATGCTTGTCTAACTAACTATGACTCATACAATGGCCTTCCTCTTGCTGCATCTATAAATTTATGTTACGACCCTGCAAAATCCACCTGTATCGATAGTGCACTTTGCTTAAAAACTCGCTTATGTAACGGTCGTTGTATTACTGGATCAAGTGCAACTCATCAAGTATGTGCTAGTGATAGACGCACGATCTGTAATGTTAGCAAACCATTTAACTCTTACGAATTAAATCAGATGCAACTGTGCCAAGGTGTCTGTTATGATTCGTTAATGGAACAATGCTCTGGTGATCATGTTGTTTTGTGTATTAACGACCCGCTCACTCAACAATGTGTACCTCAATATATTAATTCATCGACGACAACAAGTACAACTATGTTGATTGTTACCTCGCGGGTCAACAGCACTCTTTCACAGAATTTTACAAATTTCTCCGAGTTCTTTAGCACGGTTAGCAGTGTTCAACCGTCTAGTTCGACAGATCCCGTCACCACCACCACTACTATTACTGCTTCTCCGTCAACACCATCAATGTTTACATGGATTTTTACAACTTTCCAAAATGTTTTTTCAAGCCAACCAACTGTCGTTGAAACCGACACTAATCGTATGACAAATAGCGTTACACTGTCCACTGATACAAATACTTTGTCACAAAACACAGAAGATCCGCAGACATTTTCTTCGATGTCCACAGTTACCCAGCAAGATCGCGACACAACCCAAGTCTCCACCGAAGTGACAGCAAGCTCTCAATCACAATCAATGGATCAATTTACTACCGCCACGACAGTAACATTGACTGCAACACCACTCTTCAACTCATCAACAGTAGGAGAATCAAACACTGAGCCGCAGTCTTCAAGTACACCTGCCGTAGTTGCAACGCCAAGTTCGGAAACAACATTCTCATCTACTCATATAACATTGTCTTCGATATCTACAGTCGCCCAGCAAGATCGCGACACAACCCAAGTCTCAACTGGAGCGACAGCAAGCTTTCAATCACAATCGATGGGTCAATTCAGTACGGCCACGGCAGTAACATTAACTCCAACGCCTCTCATCATTCCATCTTCGACGTCATCAACAGCAGGAGAATCAAGCTCTCTATCGCACTTTTCAAACCGACCTACTGTGGCTGCGACACCATTTCCATCGATTTTTACACCCTCTATCGATCCAACTTCACAGACATCTTCCCCTACAACGTCTTGGCCGGTGTCCACAGCCGCGGAGCAAGACCGTGACACAACCCAAGTCTCAACTGGAGCAACAGTAAGTTCTCAATCGCAAACCACAAGACTACCTTTAACGGCAAGCACCACTGAAACAGCATCAAGTGCTCAATCACAGTCTTCGAGCAAGTTCACCCCAACGTCAGCAAAATCATCATCGCAACAAACATCATCACTCACATCTACGATTCCATTTCAGGAAACTTGCTGTGCACAGAGGGATTGTATTAATGACACTGATTGTTGTGTTCCACGTGTTGAACGTCGATGTCTTCGTACCACTTCCAATCGTGATTCACCTCAGATGTGCAAAGCTATTGTTCTTGGACCAAATAGCAACAACTCCGTTGTTGTTGCCATTACAATTAATGACAGAAGAGTCATCATTATTAACAAAACTGCTCTTCTGATATTTTTCTTATCCATAATAATAACATTCGTGTTATTGTTCGTAATAACATTCTGTCTCGTTATCGTTTTTTACCGTCAAAGGCTTGTAGTGCCTATTAAGCTTTGGTGGCTTTCGATGGTTAATGTTATCAACAATTTTCGAAGAAAATTGTGGGAAAGACATTGAAAAAACTACATTTCCATTTGCTTTGCTGAGTTTGCACTTCTAGTTCATGTTTTCTATTTCAACAAATAAAAACTTCCCTCTTTTCTTTCGTTTACTATCCATGATTGATCATATGAAAGCGATACTTTTGCAAATCCATTTCATCTATGCTAATACTGAAGTTCGTATTGGCACGTACATCAAAATTTAAAAGAAAAAAACAGCAAGCTATGTCGAGAAAAAGCGGATAAAAGGACTTGGCAATGTTGACTGCCAGCACTTTTTATGATTATTTTTCGAACAAGAATTTCTGTGTATTATGTCAGAAACATCTGTCAGCGAGAAAGCGTGAGCAAAGGGTCTATTACCACATCTGCATGTCTGTCCATAGTCTTTTATAGACTATCTGTAGACCGATACTAATCAGAATCAAAGTCGGAAGGAGAAGCAAACGGGTTACTATCGAAATTTCTATAAAAGGCAGGTGGAATGAATCTTTGTAACTTTTGATTGGAAAGTTATTTAGACCTGCGGTTTTCACCATTCGTTAGAGGAGGGTCGGGGGCAGATACCTATGCGGCAAAGTCACTATTCAAAGCTCTTCGTACAGTGGACTCTCGCTGACGAAATTTATCAGGTGTTAGCAGACCTTTTTAAGGACTTTTTTTTATGATGCTGGTACTCCAACATGCCCACTGCACGTTGGTATCGACGGAATTTTTCTACTTTCCTTCCTGGAAATACCAGTGATATTTTAACATTGAAATTATACGAGGAATTTCTCACTAAGAAACGAAATTTTCCTAAACATATATTCAGATTACAATTTNACTACTTGTTGAGCTCGTTGATGTTTGTGTGCTACTCGATGATCCTAATGAATTGGAAATGAGATGAGCTGAAGAAAAACTGTTCGCTGAATTACCTGTAGTTTGGGTGGTCACAGAAAGAGTTGAGGTTGTCGTCTGTGTAGTTGTTGATGTGCTTGATGTCAGCGTCTGCGTCGATGACACGGTAGCAGTGTTAGTTGTCGTTGTAGGTGATTCGGTAGCAGTACTAGTTGTCGCTGTGGTTGTCGATGACATGGTAGCAGTGTTAGTTGTCGTTGTAGGTGATCCGGTAGCAGTACTAGTTGTCGCTGTGGTTGTCGATGACATGGTAGCAGTGTTAGTTGTCGTTGTAGGTGATCCGGTAGCAGTACTAGTTGTCGCTGTGGTTGTCGGTGACATCGTCGAATTATTCGATGTCATTGTCACGGTAGGAGTGCTGAGTGTCATTGTAATTGTGGAACTATTGAGGGTTATTGAGGTTGTAGGTAACACAGTAAAGTTATTCAATGTTACTGTTATAACAGAAGTGGTGGATGTCATTGTAATTGTGAATGGACTAGGTGTCGTTATCATAGTGGACGATATCGTGGAAGTGGTGGATGTCATTGTAATTGTGAATGTACTAGGCGTTGTTGTCACAGTTGGTAATATCGTGGAAGTGCTAAATGACGCTGTAGAAGCAGGGAATGTAGTAGTGGGCGTCATGGTCATAGTTGTTGACATGCTTGAAGTCGTTGTGTCAGTTGAGAGGGTGTATGGTATACATGGCGATAGCGACGGATAACTTACGGTTATAGTAAAAGTGGATGGTGTAGTTACGGTAAAAGTAGTCGGTGTTGTTACAGTAAATGTTGAGGGTGTTGTTACGGTAAATGTAGACGGTGTGGTTATCGTCATTGTAGTAAAAGTAAAAGTAGTTGGTGTAGTTACAGTAAAAGTAGTCGGTGTTGTTACAGTAAATGTTGAGGGTGTTGTTACGGTAAATGTAGACGGTGTGGTTATCGTCATTGTAGTAAAAGTAAAAGTAGTCGGTGTAGTTACGGTAAAAGTAGTTAGTGTAGTTATGGTAAAAGTAGTTGGTGTTGTTACAGTAAATGTTGAGGGTGTCGTTATCGTCATTGTAGTAAAAGTAAAAGTAGTCGGTGTGGTTATGGTAAAAGTAGTGGGTGTTGTTACAGTGAATGTTGATAGCGTACTTGCATAACTAATGGTCACTGTGAAAGTGGACGGTATGTATGTGTAGCATGGTGTCAAAGTGCTTATTGAGGATGTCGTCGAAGAATTCGAAGCATTTGTCATCTGGTCCTGCTGAACAAGAAACCCGTTTGGAACATTTGCAGCAGATTTTTCAGAGAGTTCTGGTAAACCATGGACTAAATCATTTGTTCCACTGGCTGCGTCTATCAATATCGGTATATTACTTTTATTTCGTAATGAAAAAATTTCATAGCCAATTCATAGCAAACCTCATCAATCTCAAAGCTCTAAATTTTATGCACAAGAAACTGTTGAAAAAATTAGGAATCTCTGTGAGCTGTCTCCTCTATCATATTAGATGGAAACACAAAAATCTCCCAAATTACTCACTGCAATCACCAATGGCGGTTGAACAATGACCTTGGTCGTTATCATAGAGTAATTGACCATTGCTCTGGAAAAAATGTAATAACGTATAAACAAGATTTGTGAATATACTGATGGCGTACGTTATCGTAGACACAGAAATAGTGTACATCATGGTAGTGGTATGAACATATCATCATTCTATCACCAGGCGAATTTTGTATGGATGTTAGTAGTTTAGGTAGGTTCGAATTATCGTGATCAACACATCGACATCCCAATGCTAGAGACAAATATACCAACGAATATTAATGCCCAATACGAACTTCGATGGCTTCTACGATAATAGAAACTAGGACTTACTCGATTGTTTGACGAAGATTAGAATCATGAATAGAAAAACATGTTGATATTTTAGAGTGGTGCGCATGTTTAGATTTACAGTTTCAAAAGCAATAAGCAACAGCGATTTCAGCAAAGGTAGTAATTACATTAAAAAAAAGAAAACTAAGGTGAATGTATCCACTATATAAAAATGTATTGTATTTATATGCTTCACTTTGAGTGTAGCGTGAAATAATGTTGATTTCACATACTTCAATTTACTTATTCCTGTTCTTTAGCAAACAACATTATGCTTTTGGTGAGATTTACATTCTCGAATGGCATACAACTTGGTGGAAGAAAAAATCATCCTGATCAACTAATAGAGAATCACAATATTTTTGCCACCGACCGATAGGTAAACATGGAATGACGTATACAATGTATGTGATTTTAGAAAATGAAAATCAAACAAAAGTTGTTATTCAGAGTCAAGAAAAGAGTGATTCACAGAACAAGCTGAATCTTTCAACGTATTTTTAGAAAGTTGTATGAAAGCGACCTTTGTATCCTTGAAATGTTTTTTATTGAACAACAAGACGACTGAAAGTGCCGATTGTTCTTCGAAAAATGTTCCTTCTTCTCATTGCTCCAAAAATTGAAGCAATGATGCATTATTATAAAGGAAATATCAGTCATACATGCTCTAACATGTACTCCTTCATTGTGAGTGAGACCTATACAATACGTATTTTTATCAAAATAAGAGAAACTTTGAAATAAAGTAACAAAGTATCGACGTTGTCTTGTAGAAACATGTTGCTAGCTTGGCTAATCCGATACTGAGAAGATCCACATTTTTGAGTAACTATTGTATGAACAGTGAGAAGAAAATACCATAGATGTTGTTTTCCAATAATAGGGTGTGATTGTAAGTTTAAGTTAAATTGAGGAAAAAGCGTTCAAACCTACAGACGCTCACGTGGCATCTTAAAGAGTGAAAGAATATTTGTCTCCGACAATAAAAACAAATCTGTTGTTTCTATAGAAGACAAAGACAAAAGAAAATCTTTATTCTCATCTAGATGAATTGAGAATATCTTCGTATGTCAATATTGATAAAAGTATAAAGGGTACTCTATTTAAAAAGTGTCTGCGATAAACATGCCACGTTTTCTCGATTCTTATAATGTTTATGCCGGCTCGCAATCAGCATAGCGAATATTTGATAAGAGTGTTTTATTGTTTAGTGATTTGCTTATAAGACCATAAAAGAAATTTTTCATTTCTATTGTCAAAAGTTATACGATTGTGACTTCGAGCTATTCACACATATAAATCACGAACCCGATTATGTATACATAGTGGCAGAGAAGTCAAAGACTATTTAAACTGCAGTTGGAGTCGAAAGATATAACCCAACTTCTTTTCGTCTTAATTCTCAACGATAACAAAAAAGCGACTTGGGAATGGTACTCTATAAGTGGTGTATATTGATCTTGTGGATTACAACGATGATTCCAAGTTACTCAAACACACTGAGCAATACGATAACATGCACCAATGGTCAGAAACCATGTGGTGATAAGTTTTGTTACAACGCGAGTACACATGTTTGTACAGAAACTGGTGGCATTGTGTCATGTTTTAATAAATGTGGAAACAAATGCTATGATACGACATTCCAAGTTTGTATCAACGACACTGTATGTCGGATTGGTGAAGCTTTTTGTAAAGAAAAATATAGATATGATGGGGTGGAGTTTCAACCAGCTAAGCTTACATGTTACGATTCACAATACACGACATGTTTAAACTATACAATTTGTCATAAGAAAGATCGAGTTTGTAACAGTCAGTGTATATACGTTACTTCATGGAATGAGTATGATCATAAAATATGTGCAAACGATAACGTAACACTGTGCGATGTCCCACAACACTACAAGACTTATGATCGAAATCAGATACAAGTGTGCAATGGTAAATGCTTTGATACGCAATACAAGGGACCTACACATTGCGTAAATGGTGTCATACAATGCATTTGGAATTGCTCTAATGAGTGCTATAATGCATCGACAAGTATTTGTATCAATGGTAAACGTTGTTTAATTGGAGAAGATGCGTGTCTGACTAACTACACCTCATACGGTTATCCTCTTACTCGACCCGAAATGAATTGTTACAATCCATCGTCTCAAAAATGCGTCAACGGTGTACTTTGTGGCGTTGATCAGAATGCTTGTCTAACTAGCTATGACTCATCCAATGAAAAATCTCTTGATAGACAGGAAATGAAATGTTACGACCCTGTAAAATCCACATGTATCGATAGTGCACTTTGCTCAAAAGCTCGTATATGCAACGGTCGTTGTATTACTGGACCTAATGCAACTCATCAAGTATGTGCCACTGATAACCGTACAATCTGCAATGTTAGCCTACCATTTGACAATTACCAGCGCTATCAGATGCATTTATGCAATGGTAAATGTTATAATGCATTACTCGAGCAATGTGTCAGTGGAATTGTTCAATGTTTTGATAAATCGTGTGGAGGTCAGTGCTATGATTCAGCTATTAGTCACTGTATCAATAATAATAAGATTTGTAAACTGGGTGAAGCTCTTTGTGAACAAAAATATGATTATTATGGAGTACAACTCCCATCAGTTAATCTTAGGTGTTACGACCCGCAATCTGAGACATGCTTAAACCATACAATTTGTCATAAGAAAGATCGAGTTTGTAACGGACAGTGTATATACGTTACTTCATGGAATGAGTATTACAAGAAAATATGTGCAAACGATAACGTAACACTGTGCGATGTCCCACAACACTATACTAACTACGGTCGAAATCGGATACAAGTATGTAATGGTGAATGTTTTGATACACAGGATCCAGAGAAGGGATCTCAACGCTGTGTAAATGGTGCTATAGAATGTGTTTCGATTTGTTCTGGTCAGTGTTTTAATTCGTCAAAAAGTGTTTGCATCAACGGTACAGTTTGCTCAATTGGACAACATACGTGTCTGACTAGTTATGATTGGTATAGCGGACACCTTCTCCCTAAACCTGCAATGAAATGTTACAATCCATCGTATGAAAAATGTGTCAATGGCAGACTTTGTAGCGTTAATAAAAATGCTTGTCTAACTATCTATGATTTAGATGGAGGTTTTCCTCTTACTGGATTCAAAAATTTATGTTACGATCCTGTAAAATACACCTGTATCGATAGTGCACTTTGCTCAAAAACCCGTTTATGTAACGGTCGTTGTATTACTGGATCAGATGCAACTCATCAAGTATGCGCTAGTGATAGACGCACAATCTGTAATGTTAGCAAACCATTTAACTCTTACGAATTTACTCAGATGCAACTCTGTCACGGTGTCTGTTATGATCCGTTAATGGAACAATGCTCTGGTGATCATGTTGTTTTGTGTATTAACGACCCGCTCACTCAACAATGTGTACCTCAATATATTAATTCATCGACGACAACAAGTACAACTATTTCGATTGTTACCTCGCAGGTCAACAGCACTCTTTCACAGAATTTTACAAATTTCCCCGAGCTTTTTAGCACGGTTAGCAGTGTTCAACCATCTAGTTCGACAGATCCCGTCATCACCACCACTACTTTTACTGCTTCTCCGTCAACACCATCAATGTTTACATGGTTTTTTACAACTTTTCACAACGTTTTTTCAAGCCAACCAACTGTCATTGAAACCGACACTTATGGTATGACAAATAGCGTTACACTGTCCACTGATACGAATACTTTGTCACAAAACACAGGAGATTCGCAGACATCTTCTTCGATACCCACAGTTGCCCAGCAAGATCGTGTCACAACCCAAGTCTCAACCGAAGCGACAGCAAGCTCTCAATCACAATCAATGGATCAATTTACTACCGCCACGACAGTAACATTGACTGCGACACCACTCTTCAACTCATCAACAGTAGGAGAATCAAACACTGAGCCGCAGTCTTCAAGTACACCTGCCGTGGTTGCAACGCCAAGCTCGGAAACAATATTCTCATCGACTCCTACATCCTCCATTGATTCAACTTCGCAGACATCTTCGCCGGTGTCCACAGCCGCGGAGCAAGACCGTGACACAACCCAAGTCTCAACTGGAGCAACAGCAAGCTCTCAATCACAATCGATTGGTCAATCCACTACCGCCACGGCAGTAACATTAACTCCAACACCTCTCATCAATCCATCTTCGACGTCATCAACAGCAGGAGAATCAAGCTCTCTATCGCACTCTTCAAGCAGACCTACTGTGGCTGCAACACCATTCCCAGAAACAACATTACCATCGATTTCTACACCCTCTATCGATCCAACTTCGCAGACATCTTCCCCTACAACGTCTTCGCCGGTGTCCACAGCCGCGGAGCAAGACCGTGACACAACCCAAGTCTCAACCGAAGCAACAGCAAGCTCTCAATCGCAAACTACAAGACTACCTTCAACGGCAAACACCACTGGAACAGCATCAAGTGCTCAATCACGGTCTTCGAGCAAGTTCACCCCAACGTCAACAAAATCATCATCCCAACAAACACCATCGCTCACGTCTACTATTCCATTTCAGGAAAATTGCTGTGCACAGACGGATTGTACTAACGGCACAGATTGTTGTGTTCCACGTGTGGAACGTCGATGTCTTCGTACCACTTCCAATCGTGATTCACCTCAGATGTGCAAAACCATTGTTATTGGACCAAATAGCAACAACTCAGTTGTTGTTGCCATTACAATTAATGACAAAAGAGTCATCGTTATTAACAAAACTGCTCTTCTGATATTTTTCTTATCCATAATAATAACATTCGTGTTATTGTTAGTAATAACATTCTGTCTCGTTATCGCTTTTTACCGTCAGAGGCTTGTAGTGCCTATTAAGCTTTGGTGGCTTTCAATAGTTAATGTTATCAACGATTTTCGAAGAAAATTGTGGGAAAGACATTGAAAAAAACTACATTTCCATTTGCTCTGCTGAGCTTGCACTTCTAATTCATGTTTTCTATTTCAACAAATAAAAACTTCCCTCTTTTCTTTTGTTTACTATCCATGATTGATCATATGAAAGCGATACTTTTGCAAATCCATTTCGTCTATGCTAATACTGAAGTTCGTATTGGCACATACATCAAAATTTAAAAGAAAAAAAAACAGCAAGCTATGTCGAGAAAAAGCGAATAAAAAAACTTCACAATGTTGACTGCCAACACTTTTTATAATTATTTCTCGAACAAGAATTTCTGTGTATTTATGTCAGAAATATCTGTCAGCGAGAAAACGTGAGCAAAGGGACTATTACCACATCTGCATGTCTGTCCATAGTCTTTTTTAGACTATCCGTAGATCGATACTAATCAAAATCAAAACCGGAAGGAGAAGCAAACCAGATAGTTTGCAGAATACGCTCGGAAAGAACAAGTTTGTGGATAGTTTTATAAAATTAGTATCGATGTTCGAAAGTATGGAAAATCTTTTGAGAAATAAAGACACTTTTGTCTTTTGAAATAAATGTTTATTGTAGCCGTTGAGTTGCAATCACTTTGCCGACAAATGCTGTATAAAAACGCAACTATAAAAAATAGTCTTGAAATTCAATAATGTAACAGCTGAACTCCTCGCTATATTCTTCTTTTTACTTCTTATATACATGTATAAATATGTATATACTATGTATTTGATATACGAACATATTTTCTTCCTTTTCTCCTCATTACATATGGAATTTTCACGATGATTCAGCTGATACAAAAAGAACAAAATATAGTGGAAACGGAAATAGAAAAGTCAATGCGTGGTGAACTAGCTTCAAAGAAACGCAAAGTAGACTAATACAGGGAAATCAGAATTCAAAACGTTATTAGTGATCGGGATAATAGAATCAACTATGGTTTTTCCTTAGGATATCGCTCACAATCTTTCATTGTAACTATTCAGAATTTTTATCAAAAGAATTTTAAAAATCCGAGAAAATGTAGAATTTTCTAAAAATTTATAAAATTAATTACATACTATAGTTATCTGTATTCATTGTCTTTCTTTATTTAAATATTAGCACTCTATCTAACAAAAGACTAGCTCACGCGGTAATTGTGTTAGACTTTAGAAATCACGAGATTCAACATGCAAAGTGTACTTGTCGGCAAATTGCATCTGTCAGTAAAGTGTACTTGTCGGCAAGCTGATTGACGGCAAAGTGTAGCGAACTCGAGCCGTCTGTATGTTAGTTACCAGTATCTATTTTTTATATAGCTATTTTCGTAATTGAAAAAAAAACTGTAGAGAGTATTTTCTGTCGAGAAAGAAGTGCGCAGCTGTTGTTCGTTCTATTTATTGTTAGTTGAAATCAACCAACATACACTTCTGTTTCCAGTGAAATTGAATGAAGATGCTATTTCAATTAGTTATTCTCCTATTCAAAGTATATTTATCGTTTTCTACAATATCAGTCATGAAATATGAAAATGGTCAGTTGATTTCTAATACAAATTTGTCTTTGATTGATATATCGATTATTGAAACTCGAAATGAATGTATCTGTCATTNCAGAATTAAATTCTGAATCAAATGGACTAGGTTTGATGGACCGGACAAACTCTGGAAAAAAGTTTTTAGCTTACACACAGTTTCTTCGTGCTAGCTCCTTCGTGCTAGCTTCACACTGATTGTATAGTCTGCAATGAACAACTTTCGATTCTTCATGGTGGCAAGAATGACGTTGATCGACATATGAAATTGAAAAAACACGTGCTTCTAATGAAATCTTTCAGTTTAAGTAGACATTTAATAACAGCAACAATTAAACCTGCCAAAGAAACCGAAGAAACTGCTACAGCAGAAGGCGCACTCTCGTTTACCATGGTGTGAAGCATGGACATTCTTACGCATCACAACAATGTACTATGAACGTTCTCAAATCCATCTTCTTCATCAATAGGAAAATCGATTTCTTGTGGGCGGACAAATTGTTCGCCAATTCCAACAAATGTTTTGGCTCCATTCTTTACTGCAGAAATTCTTGACGGTGTCAGAGAAGCATATCATTATTCTATCAGGTTCGATGCATCCAATAAAGGAAATACGAAATACTTTCCAGTGTGTATCCAATATTTTTCAAAATTAGGTGTGAAAAAAGGTTGCATTTGTTCTTTTCAAATTCTTCCTGTGGCAATGAGCTGTTTGTTCTTGTTATTCGTAATAGGAATGATTGATCTGATTGAAGATGGGGATGAATCAGCGCTAAATACCTTTGGAAATCTCAAAGCCGTCATTGAAAAATATGGTTTACCACTGGAGTCTATTGGGGCGGACAATACTAATGTCAATATAGGTGACAGCCATAGTGTTTACTCATTATTTCATGATGAAATCAAAAACTTGGTAAAAGGTAATCTTAATCAATGAATTAATCTCTTTCACCACATTGTGATCGTATTATTAAGGAAATTGTTATTGTCATGTCCTTCACAGCGGTGTCAAATGGGGTCATCAGCAATTGACTATCGATGTTGAGAAGTTTCTCATGATGGCATATGCTCATTTTTCTCGTTCAGCTAAACGAATTGAACAGCTGAAAAGTTACTATGAATTCTATGAACAAGATTTTCATGTAAGTTTTCAAATTGTTAACGAAAATATTGAAGGTGACATATATGATCATGTTTGTCTGTCGCAGGTTTTGATTCAGCACATCAAACTGTGATGGTTATCATTGTATGCATCGATCCATCGGATGTTATTAGTATATGAACCGTAGTTAAGGACTATTTCACGGATCTAATGAAGAAAGAAATTCCTATAGAATTTCCAATCAATTAAAAAAAGAAACTGATGAACATCATTCCTCCGCAACGAATACTTGCCAAACGCAATCGAGTGATGAAGAAGTACAGAAATTTATTCGATCTGATATCAACTTTGGGCAATGCTATTAGCTGTCAATTCCACGCCAACGCTGAATATGAAGAAACTGATCTCTTTTTTGTATTCGATTCCCGCCAGTAATGCTTATGTTGAAAGTGTATTTTCTGAACTCAGACATTTGCTGAATGATTTTCGTAATCGAATGACAGTCCATTCTATATCGGCTGAACTGCAGATTCGTCGAAATGCCTCTAAGTTATGCACCGATATATATAAATATTTGTTGTCACAAAAAGAGTTATCAGCTGCAATTAGTTCTAAGAGCAAATACATATTCAACAAACAACATGTTCAATAGTTTTTTTTTTGTTATTTTTCATTTCCTTTATGTTTTGAAATTGAAATTTTGTGAAATACCTGCGCACCATTTGTGAAGTCAGCACTTGAAATTACATTACCATCGAAAATTATGAAGAATATTCTTTTCCGCTTTTTTCTGCTTTTCCAGGTTCTTGTTTTCCGCTTTTTGAGAGGAAATTTCCGCTTTTCAGTCTTCATGAAATGGCAACCCTGATACAGACATACCTTCTTCCTTTCCTTTTCATCACATATGGTATTTTCACGATGATTCAGCGGATACAAAAAGAACAAAATATAGTGGAAAGGGAAATAGAAAAGTCAATCCGCAGTGAACTAGCTCCAAAGAAACGCAAAGTAGACGAATACAGGGAAATCAGAATTCAAAACGTTATTAGTGATCGGGATAATAGAGCAACTATGGATTTTCTTTGGCATATCACCCACAATCTTTCATTATAACTATTTATAATTTTTATGCAAAGAATTTTATAAGAATTAATAAAATTGATTACATACCATGGTTATCTGTATTCATTGTCTTTCTCTATTTATGTATTAGCACTCAATCTAACAAAAAACTAGCTTACTCTGTAGTTGTGTTAGATTTTAGAAATCACGAGATTCAGCATGCAAAGTGTACTTGTCGGCAAATTGCATCTGCTGACAGTGAAGTGTACTTGTCAGCAAGCTGATTGACGGCAAAGTGTAGCGAACTTGAGCCGTCTGTATGTTAGTTACCAGTATCTGTTTTTTCTATATGGCTATTTTTGTAATTGAAAAAAAAGCTGTAGAAAGTATTTTCTGTAGCGAAAGAAGTGCGCAACTGTTGTTCATTTTATTTGTTATTAGTTCAAATCAACCAACACACACTTTTCTTTCCAGTGAAATTGAATAAAGATGCTACTTCAATTAGTTCTTCTCCTATTCGAAGTATATCTATCATTTTCCACAATATCACTCGTGAAATATGAAGCTGGTCAGTTGATTTCGAATACAAATTTGTCTTTTATTGATATGTCGATTATTGAAACTCGAAATGGATGCATCTGTCATTGTTATACTAACAACAGTTGTGTATCACTTGTATATATTGGAAGTAATCGAACTTGTTGGTTATATGCATCACAAATTCCAAGGACGAATCTACAATTAGCATCGGTAACACTGAATTCTGTTGTAATCACATTATCAAATCGAATAACTACAAGTAAAGACATTGAAAAAAGCCTTTTTTTTCATTGATATAAACTATTTAGTCACAACTTCAACAAGTTCAACGATAACTTCTACATGTAAATACTTTATTTTAAAGCGATCATCTATAGACTATAGTTGAAATATACTTCTAGTACCAACAACTACTTATTGTGGATCGACATGTGTTAATACAATAATCTCAACATTATCTCGTGTAGCATTTTATTCCTTTGATGGTAATATGTTGGATAATATTGGTAATTATTCATTAAACACTTATTTTCCTGGTTCTACACCAAATTATGTTTCTGGATGGATTGGTTCAGCTGTTAATTTTGTCTATAGTGATCAACAATTTCTTTTCACAGAACATATTCCTTTAGATTCGCGTTCATTTACAATCGATTTTTGGTTTTATGTAACTAACTTAACGTATACGAATGATTATAGTTTTGCAGGTGAATGGCAAGCACCAGCATATGATGAGTGTTTATTTCTTAATATTCGTGGTAATGTTCTATACATGGGTTTCTTTTATGATGATATAAGTGGAATAACAACTATTTTAACGAATCAATGGTATCATGCGACATTTGTATATGATTCAACAACAAAAACACAACTCATTTATTTGGATGGTCTATTGGAACAGAGTGGAATAGTTTATAGTGATTTTTTAGCTACGACAGGATCATTTACAATTGGTGGTGCACATCTTGGTGGACTTGCACCAACATATGAATACTATCCTGGTTATATTGATCATTTTCAAATCAGTTATCGAGTGAAGACACCATGTGAAATTTATTTGAATGCAATACTCTTTTGTTATTTCTCGTTTGATTTACCTTCGCTTCTAAATGATTCGGGACCGAATTATTTGAATGCAATGAATTCAAATGGAATATCAACAACTGGTCGAATGAATGAAGGAATACAGTTTTCATCATCATCACCATCATTATCGTACGTCAATATTTCTGGTGTGAATGTTTTAAATTCGGCAACAAATCCATTTACGATCTCAATGTGGATCAAACCTTCAAATGTGAGTGGTGGTGGAACTCTTCTTCATCTATCAACACAATCATCTGGTGGGGGAAATTGTTTTGTTTTGTGGGGATTTACTTCAACAGGTAAATTGTCAGTTAATTTGATTAGTACATCAAATAGCACAATTTCGATAACAATTCCAAGTTCATTTCAAATGAATCAATGGACACACATAGTTCATGTGTTTGATCCATCGAATGGAAATTATTTGTACATTAATGGAAATCTTATGTTTGGTCCTACATTATCAACACGTCAAGCATTTGGATCATTTGTGTTTCTTGGAGCATCGCCAGGTGGTGTTAGTTCGTGTTTATCAGGATCGATTTCGACGGGACAATTCAATGGTGTCATTGATGAATTTTATGTCTTTAGTCGAGCATTAACATCGGCTGATATTTGTCGTTTAACAAATCCATAAACTTCTCTTTGAAAACTGGCTGATATTGACAGAAACTTTTCACAAAAGTTTATTTTCTACATATTGAAATAAAATCATTATTTTTTCACATTATAAGTACATAACGAAGCGTCATTAATATTGAGGATCATAAGTCGACAATGTAGATCGTTATGCACCGACTATGATTTTTGCGAGCCTTACAAATCTTTGGATGTTTTCAAATCTTACATGAACATTGACGCACCACCCAAACACAAATGTGCAACTGGTCAACCCGACGGTCGTGCCTGCATCGATTGAGATTGACAAAGTGAAGTTCGATTCCTATAATCTATTACAAACCGTACTTAATTGAAACTTTTTGTTCGTTTTTTTCCATTATTTGTCAGCTTTTACAAATAGATAAATCTATCCCTGATCGAGTAAATTTTACGTTGAAGTTTATCTCTACATAGTTTGATTTCTTTCAACAAATCGAGATATCGTATTTTACTCACAGTAATGATAAAAAGTATTATCCAAAGTAAGTGAAGTCAGACTGGAAAGTTTGAAGGAACCTTTCGAATAATTTCTATGTTTTCATTTTCAATTCATTAATAAATAAAATTGAAAATTTCACATTACGATTTCGTGGTTTCATCAAGTTTGGTTCCACAGGTAACACGGATTCTACTAGACAGTGTTGATCAACTGTTCCACTATTAACGAAATATTTTCTGAAAAACGTCTATAATCCAGATATAATAGATCATCAGGCAGATAGATATGGCAAATTGATCAATGAATTTTGAATTATTTGAACAAACGAAAAGCATCTTTAGCATACAAAAGATGACGATAGGAAATCTGATGACGCTGAGTACGCTGGTCAAATAACGAGAATTGCATTAGAAACGAAATCTGCTATACAATGTTACGCACGTGAATATAATTCAATTTCCACTTTCAATGTGTAACTAACACTCGAAACAATACCTCAAACTTTGAAGATAGATCACATTTATTCAAATGAACCGACCAAACCTTATTCTATTAGAATGCAAAGATGGTAAATTTCCGTTTCGGACATTTTACATTCACATTATGCAGACAATTCAACTAGAGTATATTTTATACCTGTTGAACTTTACAATGATCGAACTGGTTTGAAATATAGTCAGACGTGTCGATGAAAAGGACGAATTTGCTTTCCTTGTAATAACATGTGTTTTAAGACTATGAGATAAACATGAACATTTCAGTTATTCTAGTTCTTTGCTATGAATTTGTCGAATTATAGAAGATTTTGATTGCTTTAGCGTAATGGTTGACTGTGTTGACTTTTGATTCGAGCTATGATAGAGAAAATGATTTATTTCGCATGAAAATATCATTACCACGCAACAAGAATTGCCAATTTTAAAACGAAACCGCTGTAAACAAAGCGAAATTGAGTTGTCTACACAAAAAATACCCACAAAAGAAAGAGAAAATAAAACAACTTCTTGCATTTTTCTCTTTTTGTTTGCACTGGTTAGATAAGAACGTGAAAGTGGCGTACGGTTGCTTATCATAAAAGTCAATATTTTTCTTGAAAACACGACGAGTGAGTATAGGTATCAGTGAAAATTCTCATACGATTTATGGGCGAATTATGTTTTTCAACAACCGCAACGAGGACGTGGCGAATCTCAAACTGTAACCAGTTTTGAAAAAATTTCTGATAAGATTTCTCCTTTTTAGTCGGAGATTTACCTAAACACACTAAAGGGAAAGAAGAAACCAGCAGTCTACTTTTAATATCGAAAATTTCTCCTGCTACAATAAGAGAATCTTATAGTTTAGAAGAGAACTAGAAATCAGAGATTTACTTTCCATGCTGAAAATATTGAATTCGTCTGTGATTTCGAAAGAATTTTTCATTTATGCAATGGTTGTGACAAACGACAAACAGAGCATATGAGGCAGAAAGGAAAGGATTGCGTTTCTGAACGAGATGATGCTATAGCTGATAACAAATTATTCGATCATTTGGAAGCTATAGCATCGTTCGATTTATACGTCAGTTCTGTTTATTCACGACTTTTACTTTCTCCGATGCACTGAAGTCATTGAATAGTCGATGAAAATTTTGACATAGCATTTTCAAAACTTGTTTGCATTTGATATTTGCCACTCCATGACCGCACTCGCCATTTTGTCTTAACTTTTCTCGTATAGAACGACGGTTCGTCAATAAAACATTCACAACATTGTTTGGAAAAAATTCATGACAATGTCCACTAACTTTTCAAACAGGCCGTATATTGATGAAAAGGTCAAACCTTTGCTAGAGGATGATGCATTTCCTGATCAAGCAGCAACAATAGCGGCAAATTTACTCGACCGATGTAAATACACACTTGAAAGCACCCATCGTCCGATCGAACGTGAACCCTATCAGATCAAGTTTTTCCTCGAATCTGGTATTATGCGTCTACGCCTCGATGCATTTGCATGGTTTGATTATATTTTACCTATTCATCACAGTGATCCTGTTCATCGCGCAAGAATTGCTAGGGAATACGTAAGCGAATGTTTAGAACGAAAGCATAAGAGCATCAGTAGTCGACGAATTGTTTGTCCTACAAATCGAGAGTCTAGTAAAAGCAGAGAAGCGTATATCTGCATGGATAGGAACTGTAGATCCAATTCCTGTAGACGTCATGTGCCACAGAAATGTCGGGACAAAGTGAGATTGATTCACGGAGATATGGGAGAATGTAGTCAACATTTTCCAGATTCAACATTTATTACTTCGTTCACTATCGGAAATGAACAATTTGTACTTTACTCTCGCTGGGAATCAACTCGTGATGTTCTTTTATTTCCTGTTCGGCATAGCACAAATGAATACTTTGCTAAATCACCTGCAGCATGGCAAGCTATTGCTGAGGTTAAGCGGAAACTATGTGCCATTATCTCGCGTATTCGTCGTGATCAAAGAATCGATAGTCCAATTGAGTCTGTTGCATTTAACTTTGGTAGTTGGACAAGTGAAATCGGCAAGAACAAATATGCTACAATCGCTCACGCTCATGCCCATTTGGTTTTGACACCCGAAGCAATTTTAGCATTCCACACAAATATTAAGCCTCATTATTTTTCACCGGAAGAAAACTTATACATACTGAATTTGACTGGTTGCTATCGAGATCCAGATGATCACGAATACAATGATGCAATTGCTTTACAGCATAGTCGTTTATTGTCCTACCATATCGAACAAACTGAAGCTCGTTTCAAAAGTATCGAAGATAATATGGTAACGAAGGATATGCTGGCAGAATTCAAAAAGGAATTGTTCGAAGAAATCCATCTACTTCTTGGGAATATCCAGCGAACATCAATTCCTACACCCGACACAACGAATGAAGAGCCATCTGAACCCGCAGTGGAGGATGGGCTTGATGATGCCTCAGCTCCACAGATATTGTCTGATAATACGAATACGACAATACCATCAAAACTATCCAGATGGCAAAAGAAAAAAGCTAAAAAAAGAAGACAGGAGGAACGAAAGCAAGAAGAAGATAAACTAAAGATGCAAACAAAATAGTTTTCAAGCGAAAACGAATCTACAACACTACAACTTTCCGATCTCATCTTAAAAGTGAAGCCCCAATTTTGTATTGTTTTCGATTCTTTTCTACAAATAAAAAGTTATTCCCGAATTATTGTTTGCAAGTGATATTCACCGATACACTCAAGAACATCGATAACTATGGCAATACGAGCGTAACATTCGTTCTCACCGGATTTAAACCAAACGATGTAGTGCATCCTTGACCATATCCGCTTCGATCAGTCGATACTTTTATGTAACCTTTAATTCCAGTTGGATAAGAAACAGTGAGAGTAAAATCTGTTTCAGTTTCACTAGAAAGTTAGGCGCCTGCATCATTCAATTCGATATCTAAGTTAATTCGAATTTTGCACTCTTGCACGCAAATATCGTCGTCAGATTCTCCCATAAAACAAACGATGCTCGTTTTAAACCTGGTCACATAATTTCATGAAAATTTCCGTTTGTTGATACACAGGAGAACACATCCTCTTCGTATTGTTTGATAATCGTTGCCGTCGATTGAACAGAAGTATTAGGTAAAATGAGATAGTTGTAATCAAGTGTATAAGGCCCTATTCCATGGTCTAACCATATTGTTAAAGTACGTGTCGAAATCGTATAATTTGAAGTACCAATATCAATGTAATTGCCCGTTTTATTTCGTAGATCGATGCCTATAGTGACGAATACAATCCTTGCATTTGACGAAGATAGCCAATATTTGTTTGGCCAACATGTATTCAATGGACTTCCTGAATTATAAGAAAGCGAATAAAATCCGTTGGGAAGAGTAATGATGGTCGAATTAAAAAATCCGATTGTAATTTGACTGTGTGATAAACGACGACTACTTAATGTTGTCCATGCAAAATTTATTGTTTTCACTATTAAATTAGTCGCTAGTACAACGATTGCATCATCATAAAAATGCCAAGATCTCTGAGTAGTTAAACTATGTGTCGCTGTATCCATCATCGTCATTTCATATTCTCCATCACTAACGCCACCAACAAATGATAATCTGATCAAACTCGATGGTTCATTTGAGCAACGTTCGAGCGCAATTCCATGTTCTACAGTGATACCATTAATCGCTTGCCAATCCAACAATGGAAATATGAAACTATAATCGCTTGTGTTGGATGTATAGTAGTTCAATACACCTTGACCGCCATGTTCATCTTTAAGATTTTGTCCGTTGAAACATTCGACAGGCATCATGCGGATCGTACTTTTGTCCAATGAGCACATCGATGGACTTAATAATCTGTTGTATAAAAATGCTTATTGCCAATGAGTAAACTCGCGTTCGATTGACCTTGAAGATGATCGGCCAGATTATTCAACTAAACCTGTGAATACTCTGTTCTCATGGTGTTCGCTAATATACACAACGCTTCAGCAGTCAAACCAGAATCGTACCCATCTTGAACTCATATGTTCCGCTGCTGCACAGTGAACACGTTGATCATAGTAATCGATATCTGTGCAATAGCAGGGCATATCCAATGTTTGAGAAAAGAACATAGTATTCTTTATAAGCACAGATAGATTCTTCTGTGCTGGTCAAATCATCAGCTTTAGTGCACGTTTGCGAATAGTTTCGATTTCATTGTTCGGTATTTGTTGACAAATACAGCACGATGGCGGGAGAAGACAGATGAGAAGAGCCATGTACTCTCTTTGCATCGCGAGTCTTAATTTTAACTAACAGCAGAAAGTTGTTCGCGTATTTGAGAGATTAGATGATGTTCTTATCATTTTACTGCAAGATAAAAAACTTTTTCTCGCTGCTGCGCATGCGGGTACTTATAAGTTTGAGTGTTGAGTAAACTACATGTTTATAAACTCTACATTTCAGTCGATATGAATAAAAGATTAAGTTAAATCCTATTCATTTTTCGAATTACGACGACGGCTCAGACCAGCATTTAATTTTGGTGAAACGTAATTGTAGTTGTATTGGTTACCTTTGTTCAAGCGACTATATGTCTTCAGATTCTTATTGGTGCAAGTTAATTCCATGCTGGACTTCCTTCACATCCATGTGAATGAGTGTTTTTTGAGCGATTCCGAGGAATTGTTCATGTATACTTCATAGTATATTCCAGCTGCCATATAGGACAACGTGTCGCGGTATGATCAAAACAAAGTGTGGAAGCAAATTTTGCTGCATAGATGTAACTGTTCTAATCTCTGTTGAAGATGTTCATCGTCATTACCATCGTCCTCTTCTTTGTAGATTATTACGCATTACAAATAAAATATACAACGAGGACAAATTCCTTTTTACCTTTAAAACAATTCGGTCGAAAAAGAAATACTATTCCTATTTTTCTACTAATTGTACTGCCTTCTATGCCATACATATTCTTTTCGGTCGCGTAAAAGTGAAGCGTTTGTCCCTGTTTTTTCAGTTGTATTATCTTTTGAAGAGATCAGTCGCAGGAAGGACGAATCTTATTGCGTATGTGTTGACATTTCAAGAGAAAAATCTAGGTGAATGGATTTCTCTACTCGGATGAACATAGAATCGTTTATTTTTAATCATTATTGAATTCATTATACAGTTCACTCAGTTTGAATCTCGTCGTATGCGTTCTATTTAAAAAAAAGACAAGGTAATTTTCATCCAATGTTCGATGAGTCATTCGTGTGTGCTTTATTGCACAATAATGAGAAACTTTTTCGTTCTTTCACGATTTATATAATGAAACCAATGGTAGAAATCATCATGTGCTTTTGGTGAATAGATCGCAAATACTAGTGATTACTTGATTTTTATAAAATGCGTGTTACGATTGCACATGTTCACAGTAAGGTATGTGTACAACTCGAACCATTTGAAATCGATATCGATCCATCGTCTTCGATCTTACAAGTTAAGGAGAAAATTGCACAACAGACAAATGTACAACCTTACGAACAATTTTTAACAGTCGAAGGTCGAGCAGTTGAAGATGAACAGACTGTTTCTTCATATGATTTTATCAAAGACGGAAGTCGAATAACTCTTNTTACGATTGCACATGTTCACAGTAAGGTATGTGTACAACTCGAACCATTTGAAATCGATATCGATCCATCGTCTTCGATCTTACAAGTTAAGGAGAAAATTGCACAACAGACAAATGTACAACCCTACGATCAATTTTTAACCGTCGAAGGTCGAGCAGTTGAAGATGAACAGACTGTTTCTTCATATGATTTTATCAAAGACGGAAGTCGAATAATTCTTGTGATATTTCCGAATGTTTCACGCGAGAAGTATCGGATATATGTTGCCATTCAATGTTCAAACGGAGAACGTAAGACTATTGACTTAGATATTCATTATTATGATACCGTTGCTCAAGTGAGGCAAAGTATTTATGAGCGTACACAGATACCAACAGACAAACAACGACTTATTTTTGCTGGAAAACAGTTATCAGACGAACGAATTTTCTCAAATTATGGTGTTCAGAAAGAGAGTACTGCGCTTTTGTTGATCAGAGATTAATATCGAAATAAAGTAGAACTTTCTTTCGTTTAAGAAACATACTGTTTTTGGCGAATTGTCATGCTATGACTAGTGGTGGTAATATTGCTAAGTATGTCTATCCAGCACATTTATTTGAACTTCTCTTTCTGCGACAAATTTCTGCATGGGTGAAGATGCAGGTTCTGAAAAACGCCAGTCAATCTACAGCAAGCTAATCGCTGGGAAGAGTTCAAAATCGATAGATTGAAAAAGATTCCAGTCGTATTCGTGTTGTCAACTTTAAATGTAAAATTCAACATCAACAAGATGATGTTACGTACACGTTTTCCTGTATGAGACAACCTTGAAAAAGAGTATTCTGTCCCTATATTTTTTTACTAGTGAATCAATGAAAGAATAGATTACATAAGAAAAAAAAAGATTTCGATCATTCAATCTCGATAGATGAAATATCGTCTGTTTATTAACACAGATGTTGTGGTGTCCAATCAAGTTCTTCTTTCTCTCGATGCAATGAAGCCCATCGTTGTTTATTTTCCGATATGCACGTGTATACATGAAAACCTAGAATTGTTTTCTCGATGATACATTGAACAAGTCGCTGTACAAATGTTTGTAGATCATCAGGGTGAAGAATAATCGATGTTTGTGTGCAGGAATCGTCAGTTGCAGATTCTCTTTCAATCTCATAAGGCGACTTGACAGAACACCAGCCGAACCGAACAGCAACTAATGTTATCGACGGGTTCGACGAGGAGATCTGTCGACATAATCTTTCTAATTGTTCCTTAGTTTGAACATAGACAAGTGCTTCTTGCCAGCCTTCTTTTGAAAATAATTGGATTGTCTTTTCGTTGTTACATAGAACTGTTTCACTATTCAACCGTTCATTTTCCGGACATTGGACATCTTGATTCCGCCGAAAGATCTTCGATATTATCGGATGAGTTATACAATTCCCATAGAACATTCGGATCGAACTCGCGGCGATGCAATGGGATTTATATTTATCACATAGATCCAACACATTGTCATTAATTACCTCATTGCTCTTGATCACTTCAATGGTATTGTTTTCCAAAGCACTAGCCAGATGAATAACGAGATCTATTTTGTACTTTTCAAACAGTTCACCTAGTTTCTTCTTTTCATTCACTAAATCAATAACATGTACGTCANTCCCATAGAACATTCGGATCGAACTCGCGGCGATGCAATGGGATTTATATTTATCACATAGATCCAACACATTGTCATTAATTACCTCATTGCTCTTGATCACTTCAATGGTATTGTTTTCCAAAGCACTAGCCAGATGAATAACGAGATCTATTTTGTACTTTTCAAACAGTTCACCTAGTTTCTTCTTTTCATTCACTAAATCAATAACATGTACGTCAGTTTCGGGAATCGAATAATCTTTTGTATTGTCGACATGCTCAATTCCAAATCGATTGTGACTATCCGTTCCAACAATTCGATCTGTCAGAATCAGACGAAAAGATGTGTTCTGTCTCAAAGCACCGTAACATAATCTACCAATATATCCATTGCATCCTGTTATTAAGATATTGTACGTTCGCTCGTTACCATTCACAGGCATGATAATTTTGTTTCAGAGGTTCGTTATTCTTATGGGTAAAAGGTACGCGCCTTCACTGTAATTTTTCAAATATTTGCTCGTATTACCTTTGCACGTTGGATTGCTATCTTTATCGATTGTTAACATTTCGCTGCGAGGTATGAAAGAGAGAGATAGAGATAAGATAAGCGTTATATTTATTTCATCCATAATGTAGATGTCATTCAGGTATCGTCATCGAGTGTGAATTTATTTTCTTCTGCGCTTAACGACGGCAAGTTTTTTTTTTCCTGTTCTCCGCTATATGCAACGTGTGTCAATGTAGAATTATGATTTTCGTTTAAGCGAGGGAATGAAACAGAGCAAACGACGATGAAAAACCAGTAGTGTTAAAATCAATAAAAGGAAACAGATCAAACCCGAATTGAGGATCTTGCGGGGTGAGGGTGTACTTTAAATTGGAGAAAAACTTCTTGCTTAGGTACTTTTTTTCTTCAAAAATACTTGTCCTAGCTCTGGAAGCGCAACGAGTAAAACGCCGATTCCCTCTTCAATGATCTTCGAATTATTCTACCAATGCAGAAAAAGATAACTGAATTATATTTGATCCATCATTGTGTTCAGACGTTGAAAATCGATTGGCCAGAAAAAAAAACCAGATGAGACTATCCGATTGAACAAAGACTGTGAAAACTTCTCTTTTTGATATCGAAAACAAGTCATATACGAAATTTGATTCAGAAAAATCGATTCACATTGAAATAATTACAATCTCTCATTCATCTTTGCCCTCGAATGGAGTGTTTAACATTCCAGACAATAGCTGACCTTCGATAGTTATTATATTTCTCTTCTCCAACGAGAATTCAAATGCACCACGTTTGTATTTCTTACGTGTTGAAGGCATAGCAAAAGCTGATAGTGAAAGAATGAAGATCATCATTAAATTTAATCAATTACTCAAAAACTTTATGGTAAATTTTGCATCCAGTATACTTACTTGTTATTTATGGTGGAAATAATCATTGTTTAAATAAAAAACAGCAAATCTCATAACCTAAGTCGATGCAGGAATTTGGCCTGTGGGATTGGTTAATTTGTATTTTCGAAAAAACTCCATTATGGAATTATAGACGACTAGGAGAATACCGCCACCCGGTCCAAGACGGAGTACTTTCGGTACAAAACCTTTGTATAACGCCCAGAATCCTTCCTCTCGAGCGACAATAAATAATGAGGGAATGGACCAGTTATATTTCGCTGGTAATAGAGTGCGAGGTGAGTTTTGTATTCGACTTTTAACAACATCAAATGGAGTGTTCAACACCGTTCCAACGCAACCGCCAACAGCTCCAGCAATGAAACTATTTAGCATTTCAGGTTGAGCTGGTAGCCGAGCTTTAACTTGAAAGATAACACCGAAATAGCCCGCATTCCAAACGATATGTCTCATCATAGTCGCTTCTAATCCATTATACAAAGCTAAAATTCCTTCCTGCTTGATAATCTTTTTCAAACAATCCACAGTTCCTAC